TAGAGCCTTTCAGACAATACAGAATGGACAAAATATCTGTCTCCAGCTCCAGCTGTTAGCGCTGGCCCGACTCGTTTGTTTTGTGTAACTCCTACCTACTCCTGTCCCTGCAGAGAAGCTTCAGGCAAGATCCAGGTATCTTATTATTTCATCCATAAGTATTTCTGTGTGTATTTTAGATATCTAATATAACCATAATATTATACCTAAAACTTTTTAACAATGAATCCTTAATGCCGTCCAAGTCTGGTTGTTGTTCAAATGTCTAATTGTCTCAGATGTCATTTTTAGATTTAGATCAGGGTTCAGCTAAAGTCCTTTTATTAGTCATCAGGTTTTAAGCAGGGGAGTGAGTTCTGTCATCCAGCATAATTTTGAAACTTCTTGGTCTCATTGGGGCAGTGGGTTGGTGTGGGGGTTGTTGGGAGACAAGTAGAGAAGCTGATTAGGAGGCTGTTGTGTGTCCAGGAGTGGATTTGAGATGTGTGGGCAAGCCAAGCTTGGTTGTTAGGGTTCATCTAGACCTTTGGGTTCTGTTGAGTGTGTGTGTTTATTTGAAAGGTAGCAACATAGTAAAATTAGTGAAATCTTAAAATTTTTACACAGGTAAAATTATAGCAACTTGATAGAGCATTGAGGTAGAGAGAAACACTGATCCACACTTTTCTTTAATCAATTTATTCAGCTTTAGTGCATCTTATTTGCCAATAACATCATCTTGTCTGTGTGATCATAATTAGAGTATAAATAAGATTACAGAATAGAATAGGAAGTTTTATAGTTTTTCACTTAAATGTTATCATCTCTTATGTATGTTATCCCAAAGAATCTTTATAGTTTCATAATATACTGTATTGAGCAGATTTTTAAAAAATTTTATTTACTTATTCTTTTCTTTTTTTAAAGATTTTTATTCATTCGAGAGAGAGAGAAAGACAGAGACAGAGAGACAGAGACACAGGCAGAGAAGCAGGCTCTATGCAGGGAGCTGGATGTGGGACTTGGTCCTGGGGCTCCAGGACCATGCTCTGGACCAAATGCAGGCACTCAACCACTGAGCCACCCAGGTGCCCCAAGGTTTCACTTTCTTTTTTTTTTCCTTCAAGATTTTATTTATTTATTCATGACAGAGAGGCAGAGACATAGGCAGAGGGAGAAGCAGGCTCCCTGTGAGGAGCCTGATGTAGGACTCAATCCCAAGACCCCAGGATCATGACCTGAGCCGATGGCAGATGCTCAACCACTGAGCCACCCAGGTGCCCCTATTTACTTATTCATAAGAGACACAGAGAGGCAGAGAGAGAGGCAGAGATAGGAGAAGCAGGCTCCATGCAAGGAGCCCAGTATGGGAATCAATCCTGGGACTTCGGGATCATGCCCTGAGCCAAGGGCAGACACCCAACTGCTGAGGCACCCAGGTGTCCCTACTGAGCAGATTTAATATTGATTTTGTGACCACTCATGTACTGTTAGATGTTAACTACTGGGCTTGTTATTACCTTTTAAATTATTATTAAAGATTTTATTTATCTATTTTACTAAAGATTTATTTATTAGAGAGAGAGAAAGCCAGAGCTCGTGAGCATGCTTGCAAGTGCTGAGGGGGCCAGGGGGCAATGGAAAGGAAGAGTCTCCAGCAGACTCTGGGTTGAGTGCAGAGCCCAACGTGGGGCTTGATCTCACGAACCCTAGATCATGACCTGAGCTGATATCAGGAATCGGATGCCTAACTGAATGAGCCACCTGGGCACCCCACTACCTTTTAAATTATTTAAAAATACTCTAATGTTGCCAGAAAATTTTTTTTGCATCTAGCATTTCCCATTTTTTAAAAAATTGGGATTAAGTAATAACTTATTGCAGAGCTCTTTCTAGAAACATTTGCTGTTTTAGCTTGCTCCTAGAAACTAGGTTAATGAAACCTGAAGGCATAATTGACAAAAATTAAGTACAGGTTTGTGCTTTAACAATGATATGTTTATTCTTGATAACTGGGCTCAGAATATGTATACTTTGATTTAAATTTATAGACTTCCTTATTGAAGGGAAAGCAGCACATGCATATCTAGTCTGCAGTCTTTATCTTACCCCATTTGCATAGCAATTCATAATAAAAAGAGAGCAATCTCTGCCTTATCTTGTTTTTCGGAGATTCTGTGGGTCAGCTCTGGGAACCAAGAAACAGCTATGGTTGCCCCTGAAGTGTTGTGCTGTGTTCTTATTTACTGGTGAAGATGGCTTCAGGTTGGCACTCATTTAGTAATAGAGAAGTAACAATACTGTATTTTCTTCTCTTTTTCTGTTTTCCAAAACATTGAAGTACAACATTTGTGTCATTGGCTCAGAACGTTTGGCTTCATTTATATCTGATGAACTATCAGACAACCATTATTTTGTTCTTTGCGTCATTCTTTTAGAACAAACTAGGTTAAAATGAACAGATTAAACCAAAATTTTAAAGGATACATTTAGAGAAGAGTGAGTTTTAAAGACTACATTCAGGTGCTTGGTTTATTCTGTGTTGACTTTTGGTCCTGACCGTTTTCACACTTTGTCTTTGAGTCCTTGAAGTAGTGTCACTTTAAGCATATGTTATTTCTGTCACATTGGTAGGTTTCAGAAGAGCAATATCCAAATTGATCTGTCTTACAAAAGGGGGGGGGGAGTGTTTCTCCAGCTGATTCTTTGGCTGTTGATACGTAAGATATTTTTTATATAAATTCTTCTTTAAAGCCTTGCTATTCACATTGTGGTCCAACCTCAGTGGCATTGGTAGGACTTGGGAGCTCATGAGACTTGCAGAATCTCAGGCCCTTGTTTTCATCCCTTCTTATCCCTTTGGGGCCACTGTTCCCCCATTGCTGCTCCTGCGCCCCCCTTACATGTACAGTCTGACTTGGAGGTTAAGAACAAAAGCTCTGCCGCCAGATGGCCTGTAGTTTGAATCCCTGCCTTGCTGCTTCCTAGCTGAGTGCCTCGAGCTCACTATGCAGTGAGGGAGACAGTAGTGCATCAGCAGAGAGGGATGTGCAAGGATCAATTCCAAGAGAAGGGGAGGCATGGCGTGCATGCTCCCTCCCCCTCTCACCATTGTTTCAGTGCTTTGTGGCAGCAAAACAAGCGGTCCCGGGACTTCCCAGCTTAAATTCAGGATCTTAATACTCATGTCTCATGATTTTGTGGCTCAGGAATGTAGGCAGTCTCAGCTGCTCTGTTCTTGTGTTCTCTGTGGTGTCCACTGAGGCCAAGTAATGGTTTGCAAGTTTTTAAAATTGTTACTGTAATTATTAAGTTGTAAGAGTTCTTTATATATTCTGGATGTAGATTTCTTCATGGATAAATGATTTTCAAATATTTCCTCCTATTCTGTGGCTGTCTCTTTACTTATGTGTCCTTTGAAGCACTGAGATTTTTAATTTTGGGGAAGTCTAACTTATCTCTTTCTTTCTGCTTGTTGCTTGTCCTTTTGATGTCATATAAATCTGTGCCTGACCCAAAGTCTCATAGATTTGCTTCTGTGTTTTCTTCTAAGAATTTTATAGATTTTGCTGTTACATTTAGGCCTGTGCTCCATTGGGAATGGATTTTTGTGTACGGCATAAGGAAGGGGCACTGATTGCATTTGAGTTGCTCATTTAATCAACTCTTTAAAATCTCTTCCTTGCTCATCCTGTGCAGCGTGAGGAACTGTTGTCCACTCACCATGAAAACTCTGCCCATGGCTCCTGAGTCTGTTTCTCCCCTTGTCTCTTCATCCTTTCCTTGTTCTTAATTTATCCCCAGTGTTTTTCTTTATAGACCAAGAAATGCCAGCAACTGCTCCAGGTGCGGATTCTGCTCCTCCTTCCCGCTTCGTGCCCCACTAGCCAGTTTCTCTCCTCTCTGGCCTTAGTTGCTGTCTCTGTTCTAATAACTTCTTAACCAACCCCTCTTCCTTCTTCAATCTGTGAATCCAGCTTCCCCAAGGGGAACACAATGGTCGATTGCTTTCTGTGCCTAGCACTGTGGCTAGATATAATAAGATGCTTAGTAAATACTGCATACATATAGTTAGAGCTGGCATTCACTGTTTCATAGAAACAGTAGAAATTAAACTATGTGATTAGTAAAGGGTGCCATTTAGAGATTTAGTAGTTACAGATGACTAAATTAGTATTTGAATATCATTTCAAATAAAATATTGGGATTAAAAAGATTCTAAGTAAGTAGCCATAACAACAGATTTTTAAATTTGAGTCATTTGGGCATCTTGTAGGGTAGTCACAAATTAGGGTGTGCTGACTTTTAGTGCCTGCTCTTCTTTGTTTTTTTTTTTTTTAATTTTTATTTATTTATGATAGTCACAGAAAGAGAGAGAGGCAGAGACACAGGCAAAGGGAGAAGCAGGCTCCATGCACCGGGAGCCCGACGTGGGATTCGATCCCGGGTCTCCAGGATCGCACCCTGGGCCAAAGGCAGGCACTAAACCGCTGCACCACCCAGGGATCCCTCTTCTTTGAACTGAAAAGGTGATCTGATGAGGAGCTTTATTTCCCTTGTGCACGAATACAGATGTGTGAACAGCTGCTTTCTTATTGATCCATCTGGAGAATCCTTTGCAAAATCATGACTGACGCATTTTTGGGAGAATATCATAAATGAGATTTCTCCAGGAATGAACCATGCTGCTGTTGGTAGGTCAGCATCACGACTTAAACTATCTTGTCAGAATTCAGTATCTAGTTCTTTTTTGGTTTGACAGAGAACATAATAGCTTTGTGAGCTTGTTCTGCTGTTGACTAGAGAACAATGGTGAGGACAAGAAGTGCCATTGGCCAGTAGAAGGGTGGGAGCTGGCTGATGAGCCATGTGCCTCCAGGACCACAAAGAAGGCTTGCACATCATGATTCTGCCTCAGTCACTGGTATAGCCTTCTCTTGCTGAAGATTGTGTTTGTCAGGCCGGCGTGTGTGTTGGACATCGATTCAAACACAAAACTTTCTTGTATTTTGATTCTGTAGGAGCCGAGAAAGATTGTGCAATGAATGGTGATACTCAGGCCGCAGTGGTGACCTCACCACCCCCGACCACAGCCCCGCACAAGGAGAGGTACTTTGACAGGGTGGATGAGAACAATCCGGAGTACTTGCGAGAAAGGAACATGGCACCGGACCTCCGCCAGGACTTCAATATGATGGAGCAGAAGAAGAGAGTGTCCATGATCCTGCAGAGCCCTGTAAGAGAAGTCTTCTCTCTGCACAGTGTCTTCTTCCTCCTCTGATATGTCAGCTCTTAGCTCTGTTGTGTGTACCAGAGTCCATGCATTTGTACCTGGGAAATCAGTGCCTTGTATATGTGGACTTGGCTCTGGAAAGAATTCTATTTGGTTCAAGTTATCAGGAAAAATAAATGAAAAATCTTCAGTATTATAAAGGAGAGGAGGGGCTTGCTTCTCATTTTTACTCTCTCACTACTTCTCCAGAGAATCTATTTATATATTGGGACCACTTAAAAATTACTGTTTCCTCCAGGCCACCTCACTTGGTGCTGGGCCCTTGGTAGGCCTTAATAGGACCACATCATTTTTTTTTTTTTAAAGATTTTATTTATCCATTCATAGAGACACACAGAGAGAGGCAGAGACACAGGCAGAGGGAGATGCAGGCTCCATGCAGGAAGCCCAACTTGGAACTTGATCCCAGGTTTCTAGGATCATGCCCCGGGCCACAGGTGGCGCTAAACTGCTTGTGCCACCAGGGCTGCCCTAGGACCTCATCATTGATGGGTTTTACCTTTAGTGACACCAGCATTTTAAACCACAAGCACACCCACCTGTCTTCTGTTTGTGTCCTTACATGAAGGAATTCTGTCTCCATTGCTTCCTCGTGTTGGCACTGCTGCCCTTGTATGCGCTTTATTCTTTTTTTCCTTCTAATCTTGTTTTGTTCTTTTAATCCTTCGGGGAGCCATTTGAGAGATATTCACTGAATTTTTTAATTTTTTTTAAATTTTTTTTATTTTTGATAGTCACACACAGAGAGAGAGAGAGAGAGGCAGAGACACAGGCAGAGGGAGAAGTAGGCTCCATGCACCGGGAGCCCAACGTGGGATTCGATCCCGGGTCTCCAGGATCGCGCCCTGGGCCAAAGGCAGGCGCCAAACCGCTGCGCCACCCAGGGATCCCTCACTGAATTTTTTAAATGTTTATCTTTTACATGCTGTTCAAGGAATCTGGAGAGTTAACAGTGAACAGGACACATAAGTCCTCTAATAGATTTTATTTGGTTGGTTAGTATTACTATTTGCATATGTGGAGGTATAACCTAGAGGACTGTCTGCAAATCTTAAGTGTACAACTTGGTGAATTTTGACACATGTATAATACCTGTGTAAGCACCTGGGACAAGTCTCAGATTCCACACACTCACCTGGGACAAGTCTTAGACTCCACATACTCCTCAAAGGAGATGAACAAGAAACAGCAAACAAGCACAGTACAGGAAGCAGTGGGGTGGTTCATTTGAATGGTGGTTCAAACAGGCTTCTCTGAGGAGGGGAGATTTCCCCTGAGTCTCAATGACTGGAAGGAGCCAGCCGTGCAGGGGTGAGGGGAACAGTGATCTAGTTGAGGGGCAACTAGTGAAATCCTTAGGATAGGGGTGAGTTGGATGGACTTGGAGAGTCAGAAGACTCCAGTATGGTTTGAACAAGGAGGCAGGAGGGAGGGGCAGGTCCTGGAAGGCTATGTAGGCTTGGGTTAGGAGTTTGTTTTGCATTCGGAGCTCAGAGAGAGTCATCAGAGGGCCACAGACAGGAATGGTGCTATTTTGTTTTATTTTATTTTTTAGAGAGAGAGCATGTGTGCGAGTGGAGAGTAGGGGGTGGTGGGGGAACATGAGCAAAAGAACCTTAAGCAGGCTCCACACCCAGCACAGAGCCAGACATGGGGCTTGACCCTAAGGTCATGACCTGAGCCGAAATCAAGAGTCAGACATTTAACTAAGCTGCCCAGGTGCCCCTGGTGCAATTTGGTTTTGAAGAACTCATTCTGGGTTTGGTATAGAAAGAGTATTGTAGGGGTACCCAGCTGGCTTAGTGTGTAGAACACATGGCTATTAATCTCAGGGTCATGAATTCAAGCCCCACTTTGGGTGTGGAGCCTACTTAAAAAAAAAAAAAAAAAAAAAGAAAGAAAATATTGTTGGGGCAAGAGAGAAAGCCATACTTCCAAGCAGTAGTTTTTGAATTTTATTTTGAGGGGAGATAAATAGGACTTGCTGCTGGATGGCGAAGAAGAGGTAGGATAGAAAGAAATCAGGGAACACCTACACTTTTGGCTTGAGTAGTTTTCTATGTACAAGCCACAAGAAACAAAGAAAACATCACTAGGGGTAGAGTGCAGAAAGTAGACCTATAGGACCTGCTGTGCAGGTGCTGAGTAGACCCCCATCCACATGTTATCTAGAATATACCCAATAAGCATCAGCTGTTATGGAGCTGAATGCAGCATGGGACCCTGGAATGGAAAAAGGATATAAGCTAAAAATCCAGAAAGCCTGGGATTGCTTCCTAGTAATGTACTGGTGCTGGATTCTTGGTTTTAGGAGCACAAGAGTTGAGCCCTACTGTATGGAGTGGGAAAGCCCACCCTGTGGGCCCAGATGCTGATGGCTGGATAGATGCTGGAGAGAATTTTCTTCGGGCTGATCCTTTGTTATCAGGGAATCGTAAGTGGGTCACCTACTGAGAGCGGGCCTAGTGAGGTTCAAGGAGAGAGAAGGTGTGAGAGTGACTGAGGGGATGGGCTGTCCTTGGGTTAATGCGAAGGGTACACTCAGGTTAGGGTCATGAATTTATTGTGAGACAATGCAGCATGGTCTCCACCCCCCTTCAGCCACTTTGAGCAGCATGAATAGAGTGAAGGGTTGAATTTAACCAGTGTTGGGGTTTTACCGGGTGAAATGGTAGAGAATTGGAGGTGTGAGTAAGGAAATGATTTATAATGTTAAACCAAGGCTCTAAGCCGGGTGAAGGAGGTCAGGACACAGGGAAAGGTAAAGGACAGGTGTTAGGGTTACGATAGGGTTGAAGAAAGGGTGAGCTAGATGCTCGGGGAAGGTCGGTGTTTGGAGAACCCATGCTTGGCTATGAGACTAAAGAGAGGCACAATTACTAGGAAAGAGCATGTCTAGGACCTGATCACGTGTGTGGGATGCCCAGGTGAGTTGGATGACAGGGTCAAGGGAGAAAAGGCAGACAGGACGCTGAGAGGTTAGGGTGTGGATGTAGAGCTGTTGGGAGTTAGGACCAAGGAAGCACACAAGGTCACTGGCCGGTGAGTGCTGGCTGGAGCTAGACTCTGGAATCTGAATGGGTGGCTCCAGGCCCTCACCAGTCCCTGCTACAGTCATCACCTTACACTGTGGATACTGAGGGCTTCTTGCACTGTGGTTTTCTTTCTGTGTGTTATTTGCTAAGCTTTAAGTGCCCTGATGACAAGGACCATTTTTTCTGTCTGCATGTCTTCAGTACCTAGACCAGCACCTGATACTTAAGTGTGCTGCACTGTGTGTGTGTGCTTAGTTGTGGTGTTGTGTACCTATGTAGTACATGTGTGTTGAATTGAGCTTCCCATCAATATATCTGTGGATTTGGAAACTGGAAATGGATGGCTTGATTTTTCAGATGGAGGGCTGGTGGGGGCAAGGGATTGTGTGCCCAGCATACTCTGTGACCTTTAGTAGAGGTTCTCTGCGTGTCTGTATCCCTTTATTATGCATCTTTGTGTATCTGTCTATATCGTTGCCTTGGGCATTGATAACAAAGATGGCTGTGTTTTGTTGCTTGATTTCTTCTTTTTTATTTTATTTTATTTTATTTTATTTTATTTTATTTTATTTTATTTTATTTTATTTTATTTTATTTTATTATTTTATTTTATTTTATTTATTTTTTTATTTTATTTTTATTTTTATTTTATTTTATTTTATTTTATTTTATTTATTTTATTTTATTTTATTTTATTTTATTTTATTTTATTTTATTTATTTTATTTTATTTTATTTTATTTTATTTTATTTTATTTTATTTTATTTTATTTTATTATTTTTTGATTTCTTCTTTGTAGTCAAAGCACCTGTCAGCTTTTCCTCCTCCTTCCTTGACTCCCATGGAATATGATCTGTGGCATTATTTGTCATGATATATGGTAAATAGGGGCTCCTCCAGGAGTTCTTGGTTCCTTACATTCTTCTTTGTCATTGTGTTAAGTGTACTACAGGTGTGCTTGCTTCCTGCAAGGGAGAGCTCTACTTAGACTATCCCTGGCAATGTATTTTTACAGCTTTTCATATAAGCAGTGAAGAACTAGAAGTTTTATATAGACTCATCCAAAAGCCCTCAGGGTGTTTATAATCTTAGATGTGGCTATGTGGCTATTCATTAGTGAGCTCACATTTTCATATTAAATATTTATTTGATAAGATATTTTTAAAAGGATATGTGAAAAATTCTTTCTTTTTTTTTTAAAGATTTATTTATTTATTTATTTATGATAGAGATAGAGAGAGAGGCAGAGACACAGCAGTAGGGAGAAGTAGTCTCCATGAGGGGAGCCCGATGTGGGACTCGATCCCGGGACTCCAGGATCACGCCCTGGACCAAAGGCAGGCGCCAAACCGCTGAGCCACTCAGGGATCCCCATGAAAAATTATTTCTTTTTTTTTTTTTTTAAATTTTTATTTATTTATGATAGAGAGAGAGAGGCAGAGACACAGGCAGAGGGAGAAGCAGGCTCCATGCACCGGGAGCCCGACGTGGGACTCGATCCCGGGTCTCCAGGATCGCGCCCTGGGCCAAAGGCAGGCGCCAAACCGCTGCGCCACCCAGGGATCCCGAAAAATTATTTCAATACAGTTTGGGAAAGCTATAAATTAACCTGTAGTGTTTCAGTAGTGACTTTATATGAAAATCACCATTAACCCTTCTTAATCTTTTGCCTAATTTAGGATCTTTTAAAAAAATTTTAGGATTATTTGATAAAGGATGAATATTTTATCTTAGGATCCCCTTTTCAACCTTTAAAAAGTAATTTTAAAAAACCTACTCTGAAGAAAATATTGAGAAGTGCAAAAATTGCTAATAATGCCATCACTAAGATAAGTATAGTGAACATTTTGATGTATTTATTTTAGCTTCTCTATTTAGATCTGTATTGACTCTTACAAAAAACACTGGCTGGTTTACTTTACAACCAGTTCATAATCAAAAATATATCAAGAGCAATTTTGTGTCATTAAATTTTTCTCAGCCTTTCATGTTGAATATGTGCATAGAATTCCATGGTAAGGTGGATGCATGTGTGAAATCAGTTTTCTCCTGTTTCAGATGCCAACAGTTCTCTGCTTTCCCTTTTGTCAGTCCTGCCGGGATGAACACCTGTATGAATAAATCTTTGAACATATTCCTGAATATTTCCTAAGAAAAGATTATTAGCAGTAGAATGACTTGTTTTTAAATTTTTGTATTGTTTATTTTCTAGAAGTAATGTAGCAATTTATGCTCCAAGTAGTAATATATGAGAATATCCATTTACTTTTTCTTTTTCTTTTTTTTTTCCCCAATTTTCTAGCACTGGATGAAAACAAACAGAAAAGCTGTCTCTGTGGTAGTTACCTCTGCCTTCCAAAGTAATGGAAAAGAAATAGTGTCTCACTGTTTTAATTTGCCTTTTATTAGGCTTTCTGTGAAGAGTTGGAATCAATGATACAGGAACAGTTTAAGAAGGGGAAGAATCCCACGGGCCTGTTGGCATTACAGCAGATTGCAGATTTTATGACTACGAACGTACCGAATGTCTATCCTGCAGCTCCACAAGGAGGGATGGCTGCCTTAAACATGAGTGAGTAGTTGCTGACTCTATATACATGTTGTATCATTTTATAGGTTAAATTTCCTGATAGTTTCTCATGTGAAATAGATCTGTGTACAGTGTAATACATACAATTGAGGTTTTTTTTAAGTTTTTTTTTTTTTAATTTATTTATTCAGAGAGAGAGAGAGAGACTGAGAGGCAGAGACACAGGCAGAGGGAGAAGCGGGCTCCATGCAGGGAGCCTGACGCGGGACTCGATCCTGGGTCTCCAGGATCAGACCCTGGGCTGCAGGTGGCGCTAAACTGCTGCGCCACCGGGGGTGCCCTACAATTGAGTTTTTAAAAAATTAATATTTTCCCTATAGTGAAAGATAGGCTGTAAGTCTGAAAATGTTTTGAATGTAGAGGACTCCTCCCCCCGCCCCCCCCCCCTTTTTTTAAGATTTTATTTATTTATTCATAGGAGACACAGAGAGGCAGAGACATAGGCAGAGGGAGAAGCAGGCTCCATATGGGGAGCCCAGTGTGGGACTCCATCCCAGGACTCCGGGATCACACCCTGAACCAAAGGCAGACGCTGAACCACTGAGCCGACCCACATATCCCGAGGGCTCTTTTCTTTTTTTTAATTTATTTTTTTTAAACGATTTTATTTATTAGAGAGAGAGCACACATATGCACATAGGGAGAAGCAGACTCCCCACTGAGCAGGGAGCCTAAGATGTGGGACTCCATCCCTGCACCCTGAGATCATGACCTGAAACCAAGGCAGACACTTAACCCACTAAATCACTCCAGGTACCTCTATATGGCTCTTTTTTTATGAGCCAAAGGGACTGTTATTTCTCAGGCAGATGACTTTTTATGTGGTTTCTCAGACCCTTTGTGAACTAAAATTCATCAGAAACTATGTTTGTGGAGTAGCACATCAATTTTGTCTGAACTTATTCCAGCCAGGCCAGCATTTCTTATCCATTATTCCTTACTGCTGCTAAAAGGGTGAGGAACAGAGAAACTTCTGTGGAAATGGGGCCACCTCCTTCCCCATCACTCATTGCATGTTCCAGGGAAACCTCTTGCCCTCTCCATTCAAACCTCTTGCTAAACTATTTTAGATGTAGTCCTCTACATTCAAACCTCTTGCTAAACTATTTGTAGATGACCTGTTTCTGGGTCAGAGTTTCACACATAGCAGAGCAGTTTAGTCACTATGGTCTATTGAAATCAGGCATGCACACGAGAAAAGGAGCTTTCCCTCAACTTTTTTTGGTTACCCAGTGGTACGGTTTATATGAGAAAGGTAACACTTTTCAAAATAAGAAGTTGGTTTCCTGTCATTGTTATTTTTAGTATTATTTTGAACTCATAGATTTAAATATTGTAATGTGTTTCAGAACATTGCGGTTATTTTTTCTGATGAGTGGAAGTCCCTCCAAGTTGACCCCTGAGGAGGGTCTTTGACTTTCCAAGCTATCCCCCGTGAGGAGATACTCTAGGCTTACCAAGTATATTTCCTGCCCCAGGTCTGGAATCGGCCATTTCAAAAAGAAATCTTTATTTCTTTTTGTGGGAGATAGAAATTAGTCTGGGTGCTAGGGATGGTCATTGCTACTGGGTTAGTCATTCTTTTTAGGCCTCTTTAATAGAAAGAACTAGGAAGTCTAGTATTCCCTTGTGGATTATATTGCATAGTGTTGGCACATTGGAATTTTAAGTATATAGTGGCATTATACCCAAAAGAGGTTTTCACCCAATCTCTTCTAATACTTACTCTCCTCTCTTCCACCATAAGAATTCTGATTTTTAAGGACAACCAGGAATAACAAAACCAGAATATTACATAATCAACTCATTTGTTTTCCCATATATCAACACACAATACCGATAACTCTACCAACAGTATGTTCTCTCTTCATGATTGAAAATAGTTACATTCTGTTATCAGAGCATACCACCATTGGAAGATGTGATCTCCCTCTTACAATGCTCATTTAGTATTATAATTAATAACTTAATTCTGTAATAAATACGTATTTAATGCTCATCACCGTCCTCCTATCAGTGTTATTGATAACTCCTATTGTAGTTATTTTGGTTTATCTGAAGTGCCTTCTTTAATAGCCTTCTCAGAAAATGCTTATGGAAACAATACTCTGAGTTCTTGCATGCTGTGGCCTTATAGGTCAGTATGAATTTGGTTTGGTTAGTTAGGGTATAAGACCTTAGACTCAGATTTCCTATATTATGTATCTTAAATAGGTAATTAATTTTTTTCTGGCTCAAAGCATTGCTACTAAAATTGAAGAGAATCTTTCCATGTAAGTGACTTGGTCTCTTTTCCTGGATGTTCAGAGTACTTTTCTTTAGAGTCCAGTAGTTTTACCAGAATATGTCTTAGCATCCATCGGTCTTCCTGGGTTAATTTTCTCAGATGACATACTTTTTTCAGATCTTTTGTATTATAGCAACATGGAATTGGTTTTTAGCATTTTTTAAAAAATTTTTATTTATTTATGATAGTCACACACAGAGAGAGAGAGGCAGAGGGAGAAGCAGGCTCCATGCACCGGGAGCCCGATGTGGGATTCGATCCCGGGTCTCCAGGATCGCGCCCTGAGTCAAAGGCAGGCGCCAAACCGCTGCGCCACCCAGGGATCCCTTAGCATTTTTTAAAAAAATTTTTTAAATTTTTATTTATTTATGATAGTCACAGAGAGATAGAGAGAGAGAGGCAGAGACACAGGCAGAGGGAGAAGCAGGTTCCATGCACCGGGAGCCTGACGTGGGATTCGATCCCGGGTCTTCAGGATCGCGCCCTGGGCCAAAGGCAAGCGCCAAACCGCTGCGCCACCCAGGGATCCCGGTTTTTAGCATTTATTCTGTTCCCTTTTGTTTGTTACTGCTCAGATGCTGTTAGTTACATGTTGGAGTTTGTCGTCTTTAACTGTCACTTGTTCTCAAGTCCTGCTTATTGCTTCAATTTCTTTAGGATTTACGAAAATTTTGCTTTTCATGTTCTTTTCCCCTACTGTGAGTTTAGTATTTATTTTTAAAATTATTTTTTCATTTACATCTAATTCCTTTTATGTCCTAGCCCTCATTTCTGAGTTTTTCTAATTATATTAAATGCTACCATGTATTTTATGAATTTCTTAATATCTTTCTTTACCATGTTATGAAATAATAGGTTTTATAGTTTTCACCTGTTTTGTGGACATGTCTTTCTTGTGTTTTCCTTATCTGTAGGGATGTGATAATTTTTGTATGGTATTTGATCATGATATTTTTCTATTTTTTTTAAAAGATTTTTATTTATTTTTTAAGATGCATAGATATCTTTTTTTTAAATTTTATTTATTCATGAGAGACAGAGAGAGAGCCAGAGATAGAGGCAGAAGCAGGCTCCCTGTGGGGAGCCCGATGTGGGACTTGATCCAGCGACCCCGGGATCATACCCTGAGTCAAAGGCAGATCAACCGTTGAGCCACCCAGGCGTCCCTTATTTATTTATTTTAGAGAGAGCGTGACTAGGGGAAGGGAGGGGCAGAGGGAGAGGGAGAAAGACAAGCAGACTGCCCATTTAGCATGGAGCCCAGTTGGCGACTCAGTTCCAGGACCCTGAAATCATGACCCCAGCTGAAGTCAGATGCTTAACCACTAAGCCACCCAGGCACTCCCTTTCCTGTTAGTTTTTACATGAGGTTAATTTTCATGGAGGATTCTGGTTCAGGAAAACTCTCCTAATGTTACGTCTCTAGAGCTCCCTCTTCTGTTTTGTGAAGTGCTAAAAAATATGGCAGTTTATTGAACCAGTCAGGTTCATTCCCTTTCCTTGCTTTTATCTGGACTCTTCTGTTTTCCTTATAGTTCTGTGCGAGTCAGTTTGGGTTCTAATTACCACAAATTTCTTAGTGTGAGACTTTGTCCTGAAAGTCAACTTTAAATGGTTAATTTGGAGAATTTTTAAGGCTTTATGTGTGCAGAACACTTGGTTTCAGCTATTGTTCCCAAATTGGCCTTCTGAGCTTTGTAGTGAGTTTCTGATGGTTCTTTTGGGAGTTTGGCAAATGGTCCATGGTTCCTACAGAGATGCTGATATCGTGCATTCTGTGTCAACCCTACCCAATGATAGTTTCAGTTTTGTGTGTCTACCTTATTACCTAGTGTTGTAGAAATCATCCGTAGATTTTTGGGTTTGATATCTTAGTTGGCCTAGGTAATTCTTTTGTGCAGGGTTGGGATAGAGATTTAATAAGATTTAAAAACTATACTGTTACTGCCACCATCTTCTGAAAATCTTCTAAAAAACATATTTTAAGAATTAAAGATCTGTAGTAGATGATTGACCTATGTTAAGATAATAGGTGTTTTTTTACATTATTCTCTGTATTTTTCTATATGGTTACGGTGTTTATAATTAACAAGAAAAGATTCAGGACGCCTGGGTGTCTTGGTGGTTGAGCATCTGCCTTTGGGCATGATCCTGGGTCCGGGATTGAGTCTCACATCAGGCTCCCTGCAAGGTGCCTGTTTCTCCCTCTGCTGGTGTCTCTGCCTCTCTCTGTGTGTCTCTTATTAATAAATAAATAAAATCTTAAAAAAAAAAACTCAAATCTAGCAACATGTAATGAGGAACCATGCAAATACCTTTATTTTTCTTTCTTTTCTGTATGTATGTTTTTGTTTTTTTCCTTTTTCTTGCCTTATTGCATGGGTGAGAATCCCCAGTACAGTAATCAGTAAGAATGCCAGAGTATACATCCCTGTATAGTTCCTGATTTTGTGGAGAAAAACATTCAGTCTTTCATCATATTTAATGTTAGTGGTAGGTTTTTTGTGGATGTCCCTTATCAAGTTGAGGACATTATTTTTTGCTCCTGATTTGTGGAGAGGTTTTATCCTAAATGGATATTGAATTTTGTAAAATGTTCTTTCTGTATCTATTAAAATGATCCCATGGTTTTTTTTTCTTTAGTTAAATATAGTGAATTATATTTATTGCTGTTGGAATGGTGAACCAATTTTATATACCTGAGATAATTCCCCCCCATCATGATGTGTTATTCTATTTATTACTGGACTATTTGCTTAAATTTTGTTAAGTAATTTTTAGCCTGTATTCACGAGAGAGATTGGTCTGTGTTTCTCTTGTGATTCATGTAACATAATGTCTTTGTATAGTTTTGATATCAAGGTAACCCTGGGTCTGCTAGAGTGAATTGGAAGGTGTTTCTGGAAGAGTCTGTGTAGAATTTTTGGGAAGAGGGAATCCCTGGGTGGCTCAGTGGTTTAGCGCCTGCCTTTGGCTCAGGGCATGATCCTGGAGTCTCAGGATCGAGTCCCACGTCGGGCTCCCTCCATGGAGCCTGCTTCTCCCTCTGCCTGTGTCTTTGCCTCTCTCTCTCTCTGTGTGTCTTTCATGAATAAATAAATAAAATCTTAAAAAAAAAAGAATTTTTGGGAAAAGTTTGTATAGAATTGGTATTTCTTACTTATATGTGTGGTAGAATTCACAGTGATGTCATCTGGGCCTAGAGTTTTGTTTTTTGTGTTTTTTTTTAAAGATTTTATTTATTTATTTTAGAGAGGGAGCTCCTCTGGGGGGAAAGTGGAGGGGAAAGGAGGGGGAAAGAATACCAAGTAGACTCTGCCCTAAGCACAGAGCCCCATGTGGGGCTCAGTCCCACAACCCAGAGATCATAGCCTGAGCCAAAATCAAGACTGAGATGCTTAACCCACTGAGCCACCCCTTGGCCAGGAGTTTTCTTTATGGAAATGTTTTTAACTGTAAATTCAGCTTAATGGAAACAGGACTATTCAGTATGTCTGTTTCTTCTGGAGTGAGCTTTTTGTGTCTTTCTAGGATTTTGTCTATTTTGTGTAAGTTAAAATATTTGCTGATATAGTTGTTCTTATTATCCTTTTAATGTCTGTAGGTCTGTAGTGATGTCCCCTCTCCATTGCTTCATACTGGTAACTTCTACCTCTGCTGTGTTTTGTTGGAGTCTGCCTAGAGGTGTATTTTGTGTTTCATTTCCTTTTATTTCGTTGTTTTTAATCTTCTTTAAATGCATTTTCCTCTATTTTTCTTTCTTTTTTTTTATAGATTTATTTATTTTTGAGAGAGAGAGAGAGAGAGAGAGAGAGAGAGAGAGAGAGAGAGAATGTGAGCAAGTGGGAGGGGGGCAGGCAGAGGGAGAGGGAAAAAGAATCATCCAGCAGACTGAGCATGGAGCCTGAACATGGGGGCTGTATCATATGACCTGAGATGATGACCTGAGCCTAAACCAAGAGTCTGATGCTTGATAGAACCACCCAGGCACCCCACTTCTGTTACTTTTGTTTGATTGATACTTCTTTTTTTTCTTATTCTTTTTGGATTCATTTTTTTTTCTTTTCTTTTTTCAGTTTCATAAGGTGGAACCTAGATCATTTTTCTAAAAACTCTTCTGATATCTAGTTTACTACTGTAAATTTCTTTCTGTGCATTGCTTTACTGCATCCCACAAATTTTGCTACTGGTTTTTTTTTTTTTTTTCATTTCTAACTTAATTATGTTAACGTTGGGGAACATGATCTTTATGAAATAGTCTCTGAAGCTTTCAAGACTTACTGCACAGCCTGTGTGGCTGTGGAAGTGGAAGGTTAATAGCTCAGGATTATTATTTGTCATATATTTGTTTTTTTTAATTGCATATGACTTTATTATTTTTTTAAAAGATTTTATTTATTCATGAGAGACACATACACACAGAGAGAGAGAGAGAGAGAGAGAGAGAGAGAGAGAGAGAGAGAGGCAGAGACACAGGCAAGGGAGAAGCAGGCTCCATGTGGGGAGCTTGATGTAGGACTCCATCCCGGGTCTCCAGGATCATGCCCTGAGCTGAATGCGGCGCTAAACCTCTGGACCACCGGGGCTGCCCTATTTGTCTTATATTTGATAAGAAATAGTAAGTGTTTGAGTTTGTTTCTCTTCTATTTCAGGTCTTGGTATGGTGACTCCTGTGAATGACCTAAGAGGATCTGACTCCATCGCTTATGACAAAGGGGAGAAATTATTGAGATGTAAGCTGGCAGCATTTTACCGACTGGCAGATCTCTTTGGATGGTCTCAGCTTATCTACAATCATATCACAGTAAGTATTAAATGGAGTAGTAATTGAGTGGTAAATGGAATATTACGAGTCTGGCACCATCTTTTCCCAATGAAAAGAAGCTGAAGTAAATCTTAGAACACCTTCTTTTTGATTGCTGACTGCAGAGTATAATAATCTGAGAATTATGTAGTTTGAATTAAAAATTATGAGGGCAGTAAACTCCTTTCTAACCTAAAACTCCATTCTAACCTAATAAATGAGTGTTTACCGAAGTAAAGTGGTCCTCTATTACCTGGGGGATCACTTTCTGTGGTTTCAGTGGAACATGCAGTCCACCAGTCCAGAAGCACGCGGTCCTCCTCCTGGTGTATTGTCAGAGGGTCAGGAGTAGCCTCATGCTGCGTCACATGCTCACATCATTCCCCTCCTACATCTCCTCACATCATTACAAGAAGGGTGAGCACAGGACAGAGACATTTTGAGAGCGAGAGACCACATTCACACAGCTTTCATTGCAGTGTATTATTAGACTTATTCTGGTTTATTATTAGTTATTGTTATTAATCTCCTGTGCCTAATTTATAAATTAAACTTTACCACAGTTTCATATCCATGGGAGAGAACAATGTATGTAGGATTTGGTACTGTCTGCGGCTTCAGGCACCCACTGGGGGGGGGGGGGTCTTGGAATGTCTCTCCCAGGGATAAGGGGGAACTAGTGTATAAGCAGTTACCCGAAACCTTTTTATTCCTGGAAACCTAAGAATGAGGATTTTTTTCTTTCCTATTCTGACCCAAGCTTTCGATTTCTCATAGTTTTTTTTCTTTACTCCAGTTTTAGCTATTTTTAACATTATTAGGACTTCTGTTTTTTTCTTGGAGTAAATATTTACTGGGTGTCTGCTGTTGTATATACTGATTCTATACCAAACATTGTTCTAACTCTGGGGTTCTATTTGTGAGGCAAATCCTGCCTTTGTGGCTCTTCCTTTCTTCATCCTAAGCCACTGGCCCATATCCACTCTCTGTTTGGTCCAGCTCAGTACATCCTGTGAGTAACACTCCCTGCCAGTCCTGTGCTATACCTTCTGGCACCTGAGCGCTGGAGCTTGCTGCAGAGAGCCTTCACAGAACTTGTTGGCTTCCTCCACAGACTATACAGCCAGAGCTTCAAATGGACCTGCAGCACTACCTGGCACTGTAGGATGTCTCACTTAGAAGCTCACTGATATATCTCTACTCTATCGACTGTCTTCAAAACTCCTGACTCTTAGCAAATGAACACAGTGTGTCACAGAGCAAATGGGAGCACTTCACTACCTACTTCCTGCCTATAGCCAAACTTTGTTTCTCAGTTGTAGTTTCACCCCCTGCTGCCTTTTTAGATTCCTAATGCATTGTCAGGTTTCTGTTTTCTTCTCTGCTCTTTTATAGAGATAATCTCTTTCTTTGACTTTGAAACTTGTTCCAGTCTCTGTTTCTTCATTTGATTTCTGTTATTGGAAATTTCAAATTATTAATCTAATGCCTACTTCTAGTAATACGTGTACCTCACATGGATGTCTAAAGAAGTTCGTCCGCCCAACACTCTTACCTCCCTTGAGGCAGCTGGTGTTAACGGCATTTAGATTGTTTTACCCTTTTCTCCATAGACAGCACACATGTAGGTGATTTTCCCATGCGGACTCAGAGTGGTGCCTGCATTGTAGACTGCGGGGAATGCTAAGCCTCTGAGGAGGAGGTTCAGAACCTATCTCTGTGGCTGGTGCACTGTGCTTCCAGGGCGTCATATGGGTCTTTGGCAGAGAGGCTGAGTTACCCTCCCCTCTCTCTTACCCACGTTGCTGTTAAAGTTTGCTTTTCGGCATGCAAACCTGGCCCTGACATATCTACACTGTTAGCTCTGTTGGAAGTTACATCCACCCCAGCAGACCTGCTTCATATCCTCCAAAGCAGTCACTGTCATCCATATTTTGCATCTTCTTATTTCCCATCCATCTCCACTCACAGGAGTATTGACTCTGTTGGTTTCTGTCATTCCCCAAGACTAGGAGCTGTGCTGGGTGTATAATAGGCACACAACAAACCAAAATCTGGCCTCTAAGAATATCAAATGAGAACTCCATGGTGCCATTTGATACTTGGTTAAGGGGTCCACTTAGCATACCAGAGTGCCATTTCTGATCTGGTGCCTGCGTGAAGACTGCTGGCATCTCTTACTGATTGTACTTGACAGAGTGCTCTATGTTCAGACTTAATGCCCCATGGTTGGCTAAAAATTAGTTCCATGAAAATGTTACATGTCTAATCAGCAGTGTAATTCTTGGCTTTACTAACAGCTTCGCATTCTTGGGGAGTTTAAGATGCTGTTGAAATAAGTTTAAATTGCTGAAATGGCTATTCCCACACACTGCCCCCTTTAGTTAAGATTTGGCAGAATTAAGACATTAGTCAGATGTTCCTTCTTCTGTAGATGATCTGTGTGGCCTTTAATACTGAGTAAAAAAGATATTTAAGCACAAAAGTATTTCCTGTATCTTGTGAACTGGAGAATCTTTGAGGGAGAAATTTTTTTGAACTATTTATGGCATTCATTTTTTGTTTTACAATGTGTTACCATATAAACTCTTACCAGAAAAGAAACACTAACAGTGTTTGTCCATGCAACTAAAATGTGCTCATAGCTCATCGTGCCCTTTCTTTGAAAGAGGGCCATGAGGATTTTCTGCTGAAGGAAGTTAAGGGTGTTAGTAGGTGTTAGAGGATTGGAGATGATTGTCTGAATTGGATTTCTGTCTTTATGATGGCATCCGGTTTCGAGAAGCTTTGGGGTGTGTCAGAAGCCAGGGTGGCCTGGTTAGCACATGAGCTGAACTTTTCCTCAAGATGGCACTTAGTGGATGCTGAGACCTTTCTATCTCTGAATGCCTCGTGGCAGTAGTGGAGCACTAGGTTCAGTCCCTGTGTGGACTCAGGGAGTGCTAAACCTCTGAGGAGGAGGTGTGGAGCCCACCTTTGTGACCAGTGCACTGTGCTTCTGGGACGTGGTATGGATCTTTGCCAGAGATGCCGTATTTGGCGTGTTTGGTTTTCAGGGAATGACCTTAAAATCTGCGACATGAGTGCTCAGTCCTTGTGGACAGGCAAGGGACATCTGGTGTGTGGGAAGACATGCATTGAGGGTAGCACCAGCCTGTTGGAAACTCACTTGCAGAGATCCTTTGCTCTTGTTTCACTTCATACCTATATTTAGTACCTTTACCTTTATTTTTTAAATATTTATTTATTTTAGAGAGAGTGTATGCATGTGGAGGGAGGGGAGAGGCAGGGAAAGGCAGGAGAGGAAGAGAGAGAAAATTAAGCAGGCTGCACACTCTGCACAGAGCCTGATGTGGGTCTGTTCTCACAGCCCTGAGATCATGACCTGAGCAGAAATCACGAGTCAGATGCTTAACCAAATGAGCTATGCAGGTGCCTCAGCACTTTTTCCTTTTTTTGCTTCAGTCTCAGAAAATTATATATTTTAAGCTTTTTCCATTAGAATATATAGATTTGCTAGGCTCTTTTTTTTTTTTTTAAGATTTATTTATTTTATTTGAGAGAGAGCGAGTGTGAGCTGGGGCAAAGGGAGAGGGAGAAGCAGACTCCATGCTGAGCAGGGAGCCCAATGTGGGGCTCCATCCCAGGACCCTGGGATTGTGACCTGAGTTGAAGGCAGATGCTTCACTGTTTGAGCCTCCCAGGTACCTGTTAGTTTTGTTTTAGATAGTTAAAAAGATGCATGCTTTTTAAAATACAAGAACAAACTTCAGAAATAAGCCTAACTAGCTCACTGTTAATGGGAAAATATTTTCAAAAAGGGTGGAAACCACATGTGCATTTTTGAAACAAACTAAGAGCAGAGAATGGGGTAACGGGGACTTAAAGTGAAAGGATATCATGGAGGTGAATATATCATGGAGGTGAATTTAGAACGAGCTCATTCGTGATTTACTACTGCTGCTCCTACTATCACTAATAATAGTACTCCTGGGGAGATGCCATTTTCTCTTTATTGTGAGTATGAGCTCTTATCATCCCCTCCTTACTCTAGGGGTAAGGAGACCAGGAAGCCAGGGTCCCCAAAGCAGCATAGCCCCCTACTTGGCAGAGCTAGGATTTCACTAAGGTCTTACATGATTGTGGATCTGCGTCATACTATGCCAAGCAAATCACATGGGTTTAGACAAAGGTGACATGAGAAGGTAGGATCATTTCAGGTATCTGAGAACTAAATTGTAGAAGTGGTGGATTGAGTTTGTTCTGTGTTGCATACTAGAAAGAATGATGAAAAACTCAGGAAGACAGATTTCTGCTCAGTGTGAGAGAGAATGTTTGATGACCAGGTCTCTAGCTTTATTTCCGTCTGTACCCCAGCCCCTGTAATGGAGCTGGTGGTTCAGTGACTCTTTGCTGAATGAGGAAATGCGGAGGCAGAGAGGACGTGGTGAGCGTCCCATCACCACACCTGCCCAGCAGACCCCATATGTGCTTCTGTTTGGGTCATTACAGAAGTCACTACACCAGTTGGGAAGTTGGGCTAAACACTGTAAGTCCTTTTCCACAAACACTTCACTCTACCTGCCCCACCCCCATTGGGGTTCTTTGCCCAAGCAGTGAACACCTGCTAATATAATGTCTCCCAAAATCATCATAAAAACTACACTTCAGGGTGCCTGGGTAACTCGGTTGAGCATCTGCCTTTAGCTCAGATTATGATGCCAAGGTCCTGGGATCGAGTCCTGCGTCGGGCTCCCTGCTGAGCCGGGAGCCTGCTTCTCCCTCTCCCCCTGCCCCTCCCCTTGCTGTGTTCGCTCGCTCTCTCGCTCTCTCTCTTTCTGTCAAGTAAATAAAATAAAAAAACTAAACTGATTTTTGGAGGGCAGGACTCTTTTTCTATTGTGTTACTGGCATCTTAGCACTTAGTGCCTACATCTAGCAGGTACATAGTATGTGCCACGTCTGTACTGAATGAATTGTGGACAGGAAGCGATTGAGGAAGGAGCCAACTGGCTGTGAGCACAATGATGTGGTGTGGTAGAGACTTTTTGAAGTCAACCAGGCAATAAGGAGGGGCTCCCTGTTTGTCATTGTTGTGATCGTTCACTATCCTGCAGGTTTTGGTTTCATGTGATACTGTGTTGGTAGCCACCAAGTATTTTCTTTATAAAGTCCGTTGTCATGAATGTGACCAATGTGCACTTTCTGTACCTGAGAAGTTACTACCTGCAATGGTAGAAAGTTTCCAGTACCTCTTGATTCTGTGACAGGCACTGTACTTACGTGCTTTCCTCTGTAGTTCACTGAATGCGCACAGTAGAGTTTGTGGATGGAAAGAGATGCAAATAATTTCAATTGGATTTTTTAGCTGAGTCAGTAATTTTTCTTACAGACCAGAGTGAGCTCCGAGCAGGAACATTTCCTCATTGTTCCCTTTGGACTTCTCTATAGTGAAGTGACTGCATCCAGTTTGGTAAGAATATCCTTTTCCTCTTGGGCATTATGTATGTTTAGGCCATAGTTGATAATTAAACACCTTTCAATCCCAGAATGAAAAATAAGTTTATGTTTTGTGTGATAAATTCAGAAAAAAGCTTTAGAATTTGTTATAAACACTTAAAACTTTGGTTTAAATAATTTCTTAGAAGGGTAATTTGAAATCCTCGACATTTAAATTTTTTATTTGCGTATTTTCAGGTTAAAATCAATTTACAAGGAGATGTAGTAGATCGTGGAAGTACTAACCTAGGAGTAAATCAAGCTGGCTTCGTGTTACACTCTGCCATTTATGCTGCGCGACCAGATGTGAAGTGTGTTGTGCATATTCATATACCAGCAGGAGCTGCGGTGAGTGTGCTGCTCTGGTAGCAACTCCGATTTTAAAATTATTTAGTGGAAGGCACTTCACATTTCCTTGTAATTGTGCTCTCTTGAGGCAACATGTCAATAAGCCAATTTTGTTGGAGTAAAGTTTTTTTTTTTTTTAACTAAGTTTGACTTTCTTAAAAGAATTTTTTTTGGGACGCCTGGGTAGCTCAGTGGTTGAGCATCTGCCTTCCGCTGAGGGCATGATCCTGGGGTCCCGGGATCGAGTCCCACATCAGGTTCCCTGCGGGAAGCCTGCTTCTCCCTCTACCTAGGTCTTTGCCTCTCTGTGTTTTTCATGAATAAATAACATCTTAAAAATTTTTTTCTTTTCTTTTAAGGGGTCCATACGCTATCTAGTTTTTGGAAAACCTGTGTGAGTCTGAAAGTGTCCACTAGACTTAATAGAAAATCAGCATGCTGAGGGTGAGGTCAGACTTCAGGGTATAGAAGACTGCTGGGATCTGCAGAGAGACTGCACAGACACCTCGTCTGGGAAGAGGGTAGGACAGGAGGAAGAGAGGGGCTCAGGCAGGCTGCGGGGGGAGGGTGCTGTGGGCTCAGGGAAGGCCTGGGGGATGCAGGAAACCTAAGCCTGCTGATGGTCTGTGGGGAAGAGCCAGGTATGGGAGGGAGAGGTTGAGGCGTAGAGGCCCTTAGGTGTCTGCATAGAGCCAGCAGACGCCCAGGCTGGGTCAAGATAGGAAGGAAGGGGCTGTTGCAAGGAGAAGGCACAACCCTTATACATAGCTGTTAGGAGATCTGGCCTCCAAGCCTGGAGCCCAGAGCCTGCCTCAGCCTGGTCACAAAGCCCAGGCCCTTCTGGTGCCAGCAGCCCACACCTCCCAGCATGAAAACGCGATTCCGGTTGTTGGTACAGTCATGTGACAGGGAACCATGACGACTATACCACACATGACCTTGTGGATTCAGTAATGGTGAATTTTAATCTATCTTGATGTTTTAATGTCATGTATATTGGGTTATTTTAATGAATGTTAGATCTATCTGGCTTTTTTTTTTAATTTTGAACATGTGGTTCTAAATGTCAACATGAGTTTTATTTTATTAGCTCCATCATTTTCTGAAATTTTTTTCTAAAAAAAAAAAAAATGCATGTTCTTCCAACCACAAAAAAGTCCATGCATTTTAACGAACCAGTAGAGGTACCTTTGAGAATATGGTTGCAAACAGCTTACCATGTAATTTGTTTTAAAACATACCAAATCACTTCACTTGGAAAGTTCTTTTCCCAGGAGGGCTGATGCCATGAAAGGGATTAAATGTGGCGTCTTTTTTGAGTCTTTCACCTTTGTGTGCAGTTGTTTCCCTGTGAGTGCTGTTGAAATCTTTGGAGCCTGTTAGTCTAGGTAGAAAACCTTCAAAATTAACATGTTTTAAGTTCAGTTTGGGAAAGTTAAGGGAACTTAAGGGTTATATGAACACTTAGATTATTTTACTTCAGTAGAAGAGGAATTATATAGCATGATTATTGTAAACTTCAGAAATTGGCGTTTATCTACATTTCAGGTTTCAATTTCACCTGCATCCTTAGAGGAAAAGTGCATCAGAACCTTACAGCATTTCTAAAACCTCTCTTTGCAGGGTCATGACTCACTCAAAGGGAACTGTAGGGCCTGGCTTGTCTTGGCGTGAAGCCTGAGCTCATACGGGGTCATGATCAGTGTGGGAGAAGTCCAGAAAGCTGTGGAGTTTCTTCTGAGGCTCTCCCAGGGTAGCAAGCAATGCCTCTGACTTTTAAGTCTTAGTTAGCCCCCCAAGTAAGGTTCATCCTAAGTTTATAGTTTTATTTACTTCTGAGAAGAGAATGGAATGAAATATGTTCCCCTTTTTATTTCTTTGAGGAAACATTTGCTACATCATCGGTGTGTGGCTGTCACTTTGCCTTCATTCATGGTGACTGCTTGTTCTCTAGGTCTCTGCGATGAAATGCGGCCTCTTACCAATCTCCCCAGAGGCACTTTCCCTTGGAGAAGTGGCTTACCATGATTATCATGGGATTCTGGTTGATGAGGAGGAAAAAGTATTAATTCAGAAAAATTTGGGGCCTAAAAGCAAGGTCAGTAGGCATCTAATCTGGTGCTTAATTTGTAGAGGAAAGAAAAAAGTCAAAGTAGCAGTCTTCTTGTGTAGCTCCCTCGAGCTTTCGTATTTCCTGGCAGGTTCTTATTCTCCGGAATCACGGGCTGGTGTCTGTCGGAGAGAGCGTTGAGGAGGCCTTCTACTACATACATAACCTGGTGGTCGCATGTGAGATCCAGGTAGGCGGCAGCCTCCCTCTGCAGCCTGTGGCTTCTCTGAGTGCTTGCAGGGTTCTTGTTGATTTTTGATACTTGTTTTGTAGGAATGAGTCTTTGCTAACCTCTTTGTCCGAGATGAGCCTAGTGGATTTGAATATTGACCAGAGCAAATGCCCTTTCACTGATTTAAGTTATCAAATGATTACTGGACTTTTTGTTTTTAGTTTTGTATTATTCAAATACATGAGTCACCACCATTTATGGAGTACTAGTGTGTGCCAGCCCTGGTATCAGGTGCTTTATTTATGTGTGCCCCCCCATGACACTGTTAGTGGAAAAGCAGGTACAGAGAAGGAGAGACTTGCCCACTGTCCTGTGGTGGTGGGTGACACCGAGCCAGCTCTGCTCAACCCCAAGTTTGTACTCCCTGATGGTAACTTGACATACATCTGAGCAGTCCGGCAAGTCCTCAGGCTCCTTCCAAGCATGAGCGTGTAGTATTTTTGTTTTCTAAAGAACTTTCAAAAGTGACCTTGTATATGGATAGCCTGTTGCTGTCCATCCTGCATTTTTCATTCTTACACTCTTAGAAATTTGGTTTCTGTTTGAGTAATCTCTTGTAGTCAGCTGATCTGGTCGTCTTGCCCTCAGTAAGGAACTCAAACTATACTGTTTGCTTGTTTTGAAAAGGTTCGAACTCTGGCCAGTGCAGGAGGGCCAGACAATTTAGTCCTCCTGGATCCTGGCAAGTACAAAGCCAAATCCCGTTCCCCGGGGTCACCCGCAGGGGAGGGCACCGGCTCACCTCCCAAGTGGCAGATTGGCGAGCAGGAGTTTGAAGCCCTCATGCGGATGCTCGATAATCTGGTAAGAATGTTGCTACCACATGATGGTAAAGCTTTTGTTCTGAAAGCAGCAGCGTTGGTGTTTTTATAGCAAGTAAAATTGCTGTCTTCTTGCAGTATCTGAATGCTTTCACCCTCAAAAATCATACAGAAGCACCAGGGTAATTGAACTCCGAAGCTAAGTCACTGTAAAATATAAAGAGGAGGGTTTCTTGTGTTCCTGTGTGGTTCAAAAGGAATCTCCTTTGGATGAGGTGGGGGCAAGAGCAGAGAGCTTGCTCTGCTCTGAAGTGGGCTACTGGGTAACTGGCTCCTGGAGCAGCAGTCAGCTCAGTACCCATCTTCCCACAAACAAGCCATGGGGTGGGGGTGGGGAAGCTAGCCACGTTTTGCTTTTTAGCATCAAGTTCTAGCCACGTGTGGCCTGACTACTGTGTTCCACAGACATTTGCTGCTGATTTACTGTGTGGGAGACCCTTCTCCCATGGTACAGTGACCCGGAGCCCAGCACAACACAGAAACTGGGCCTGGTGTTACAGCATAATTGGGATGTTTGGGTGGTACCCAGCAGGGTGCAGTCTGTGCTAGAGGGTTCAATGAGCGGTCTCCTCCTTTGGCAGGGATGGGGGGGGAACTATGTGGGTGGCACTTGGAAATGACCTCAAAGAGTAGGTAAAATTGTGGTAGGCTGAGTTGGCAGAAGGAAGATGTCTGCGCAATGAAGATGCCACAGTGGGGATGGGGGTGGGGTGGGGATTTGCCTTCCAGGGTGGCCACGTCTCTGGTGTGAGCAGGTTCTTTGCATATTCAGAACAAGGTATTGTAGGACAAACAATAACGGGCCCTATTGCCTGCTGCAATGTCACACTGTTTTGATGGAGTTCAGAGAGTCCATCATCTTGCCCTGTGACATTAGGCAATGGAGACAGGAGGACCTGTCCCAGGAGTGTGGGACTGAGAAGCTATAGGAAGGGCTGAAGTCAGAGATCCCTGGGTGGCTCGTTTAGCACCACCGTCAGCCCAGGGCGTGATCCTGGAGTCCCAGGATTGAGTGCCACATTGGGCTCCCTCCATGGAGCCTGCTTCTCCCTCTGCCTCTGCCTCTCTCTCTGTGTGTCTCTCATGAATAAATAAATATTAAAAAAAAAAAAAAGGAAGGGCTGAAGTCCCCATGTGTATCTGTGGCTGTGCTGGGAACTGTAGATGGCAGCACAGGACCACTGGTACACAGTCTAGCCTAAACTGAGGAAGTCCTGACTATTAGACCAGGTCATAGATGGGAGGGGTGGCTTCAGAAGGCAGGGAGTTTAACTTTCTAGAAGATTGTGGAACCAAAAGAATTCAAGGATCTGATTCAGGATGTGCTAAGTGTCTTCAGGGGCTGGATTTGGTTAGTCAGGGAGGAGTGAACAGAGAAAGCAGAACCTTCCATAACTTCTGAATTCATTGGACCAGTAAAGATGGGTTGCATTGGGGCACCTGGGTAGCTCAGCAGTTGAACATCTGCCTTTGGCTCAGGTCGTGATCCTGGGGTCCTGGGATCGAGTCCCACATTAGACTCCCCATGGGGAGACTGCTTCTCCCTCCGCCTTTGTCTCTGCCTCTCTCTTTATGTCTCTTGGGAATAAACAAAATCTTAAAAAAAAAAAAGATGGGTTGCATTAACTGACCATCTACTGTTGAGCCTAAAGCCATTAACAGGACACGAGGAATGCATGACTTCATCAGGAAGAGGGATACACAATTCCAGATGCAGCCAAGTATCTGGGATGTGGGTTCTAACAGAGCATAGTGAGGGCCTCAGAGGCAGAGATGGGGCACAGGCCAGGACTGCTTGTGGGAAGCAGGTGGAGGAAGGAAGCTCCCTAAGAAGGTGGAAGAAGCAGCTGGAGTTGGGTGGGGGGAGTGGCCCAGGTATCAGCACTGGGTGGCAGGTTCCCTCAAGGGGCCTGATGAAACAAGGAGCGCGGGGCAGCGGCTTCTCCTCCTGGCAGGTACTCTGATGGCTCACTGCTCTGTGACCTAAACATTAGGTAGGGAAGACAGAGGACTAAGAATCAAGAACACCAGTCCCCACATTTTCTAGAAGGTGGAGAGAAATCAGAATTAGGCAGTAATTCTAATTTGCTAGAGGGAGAGAAAGGATGAAAGCTGAATAGTGAAGTGCTCATTACAGGGGTGTTGTGTTCAGCGTCCCTACTGCACACGGTCATTGCTGTCATTTTTGATATGAGAAGGCTATGTAGTGTATAAAAAATAGTAATTAGGATTATAGTCCAGTTTTTTAAAGATTTTATTTATTTGACAGAGAGTAGGGAGCCCCACTGAGCAGCGACCTGACATGGGCCTCCATCTTAGGACCCTGAGATCGTGACCTGAGCCAAAGGCAGAAGCTTAACCGGCTGAGCCCTCCAGGCGCCCCTACAGTCCATGTTTTAACGTAGCATTCTGATTAACCATGTATGTTATACACATAGTTGAGCAGGGTAGATAATAGTTGAAGATTCTCATAGTGTAAGAAGTATTTTTTTTTTAAAGATTTTAAAAATCTTCACAAGAGACACACAGAGAGAAAGAGGCAGAGACACAGGCAGAGGGAGAAGCAGGCTCCATTAAGGGAGCCCAACGCGGGACTCGATCCTGAGTCTCCAAGATCACGCCCTGGGCTGAAGATGGCGCTAAACCGCTGAGCCACCTGGGCTGCCCATGTAAGAAGTATTTTAACATAGAATTAGGAGAAGTGCTAAATTGCTTCCCTACAATATCAAGATGTAATTCCAGCTTTTCAAAGAAGGAATGAATCTGTATGTTCGACTCTTAATCCAAGCCCTACAACAAGTCTGATGGCCAAGGATCACCTCTAATTTTGGCTTCACAGCATTTAAAGGAGAATAATAATAATAATAATAACAACCCTACCCTCTCAGGATAAAATTTTGTGAGGTTCTGGTGGTTTATCCTGAAGTCATGGAGACTACTCAAGAGTCTTGGCTCCCTAAGCAAGAGGAAACTTGAATGAACAAGAACTGTATTTTTCTGAAGATAGCCTTTCTACAGTGTTCTTCTCTTTCCTCAACAGAGTATGTTCATCAGTGGGAAGACTGTAGTGTAGCCATTTACCTATCTTCCTGAGGACAGTGGTGGAGAAAACAGCCACCCACGACCACATTTAGGGATTATTAGCACCTTTTTTTTTTATGTAGCAAAGAAGTGATTGGTAATGAAAATGGCCTCCCAAAGAAGAGGAGCACCCAAAGGGGGGGGGAAATTCTTGAAGTGGGAGAAATGTGAATGATTCCAGAGCACTGCAGAATGCAGGGCACAGGCTATGGCCCCTCTTGTATGACTAGCCCCTAATTCTCCTGTCATTCATTGTTTATTCATTGCTGTGAATGACTTGGTCCAGACATGCAGCTGTGGGTCAGGAGCCAGCTGAGCCACCTTCTTGGCTTAGGGTCTCAAAAGGAATCCTGTAGTCGAGGTGTCGACCCAGACAGGACTGTCATCATAAGGCTGGAGGGGGCAGAACCCGGGCTCCCCAGGATTGTGAGAGGGATTCCTTTCCTTAATAGCTGTGAGAGCCCTGGCACCTTGGTTCTTTGAACCAGTGATGGACAGAGAGAGCCTCTCAAGATGGGTGCTACACTCTTGGGGCGCCTGATGGCACAGTTGGTTAAACGCCCGACTCATGGTTTCAGCTTGGGTCATGATCTCAGGGTCATGGGATGGAGCTCCATCTGCGCTCCAGCGCAGAGTCTGCTTGAGATTCTCTCTCTCTGCCCCTCACACTTGTGTGCTCTTACACTCTCTCTCGGAAATATATCTTTAAAAAAAAAAAAAAGAGTGCTACACTCTTAAGTAATACATCTTACCACCTTTGCCAAATTTCTCTGGTTAGAAGCAAAGTCAGATCCTGCCCACAGTGTAGGAAGAGGGCCTTTAACAGCAGGTGGGGACCATGGAGGCCACCATAAAGTCTGTGAACACCCACTGGATGCTAAGTACTGGAAGGGAGGGATGTGTAAGATGTCATCCTTTCCTCAGAGGGGATCCCTGGGTGGCTTAGCGGTTTAGTGCGTGATCCTGGAGTCCCGGGATCGAGTCCTAGGTCAGGCTCCCTGCATGGAGCCTGCTTCTCCCTCTGCCTGTGTCTCTGCCCCTCCCTCCCTCCCTCCCTCCCTCCCTCCCTCTCTCTCTCTCTCTCTCTCTCTCTCTCTCTCATGGATGGATAAATAAAATCTTAAAAAAAAAAGATGTCATCCTTTCCTCAGAGAGATGGTCTTTGGGAGCTAGCACACAGGTTAGTCCAGCCCAAGGGCTGAGGGCTGTTACAGTGTGTTACAGAGGTATTAACTAGTGGGCCCCATGTCCTAAAGCCCTGGTGAGAGGTTATGAGGCAGAATCGAAGGTTGAACTCAAACATTGATATGAGAACCAGTTTTGCCTAGAACCAGTTGTCATGAGGTAGACTTGTTTGGCCTTCCCCAAAGATTGTTATAGTATCTAAACTTTGTCTTAAAAGGTTAAAAAAAAAAAAAAAGAAATTAACTAGGTTGATCAATACAACCTATACTATAGCCAGCAGCAAGTAAGCCTTAAGTATCTAGTTTATTAACTTTCAAAAACTGGACACACCATATAAACAATACCCAAATCAAAAGCTGGCTGTACTCAGGCGCCTAGCCCAGCTGGCTCAGTCAGTACAGCATGCAACCCTTGACTTCAGGGTTGTGAATTCAAGCCTCACGTTGGGCATGGAGCCTATTTAACAAAACGAAACACCCCAGCAGCACCTCAGGACCTTCCTTTTAGGCACTTACCTCACCCCAAGGGTGGCCATTGTTTTATCTTCTAATGACAAAGATTGGCTTGCCTCTTTCTGTCCTTTTTATGAGTAGAATAATACAGGGTGTTCTTTCCCATTTGGTTTCTTTGACTCAGCGTCATATTTGTGAGATTCATCCTAATGTTGCCTTAGTAATGGGGTGTTTGCTCTGATTCCTGGGCCCTACTCTGTGGCGTAGATCTTCCTCAGTTGGCCCCCTTGAGGGTTGCTGGCTCTTTCTGATCTGGGGCTGTTAGGAATAGGGCTACTTTCAGAATTTTGGTGAATATCCTGTGTCTCTGCTGCCCTGCAGCGTTGCCGGGTGTGCACACGTCTAGCTTTTCTAGGGGATTCCACACAGCTTTCTTAAGTGACACTGTGTCAAAATCTGGAATAGTGACTGTCTTTCCATCTCTTTGGATCCTAGGGTTACAGAACTGGCTACCCTTACCGATACCCTGCTCTGAGAGAGAAATCTAAAAAACATAGCGATGTGGAGGCTCCTGCGAGTGTCACAGGTTACTCTTTCGCTGGTGACGGGGACCCAGGCACTTGCTCCCCTCTCAGACACAGTTTTCAGAAGCAGCAGCGGGAGAAGACAAGATGGCTGAGCTCTGGCCGAGGTGACGATGCTTCCGAGGAGGGGCAGAATGGAAGCAGCCCCAAGTCGAAGACTAAGGTGTGGACGAACGTTACACACGATCGCGTGAAACCCTTGCTGCAGTCTCTCTCGTCCGGTGTCTGCGTGCCAAGCTGTATTACCAACTGCTTGGTCTGTGCCTACCTTACTGTTCATAGTTAGATGATGTAGAGCAAGTTGGACAGCTGGGGCTTCGGAGGCTTTGGGAATCCAGCCCCTCTGACTCGGATTGAAGGCAAACTTTCTTCATTAACCTTCTTTAGCATCAACCAGAATCTGTCTGCTTGAAACTGCTTAAGATCTGTGGTTGGGCTCCAGTAATGCCAGCATCACCTAACTCACAGTAGCAGGGATACTAAGTAACTTACCTGTTAACCCACAACTCAAGCTGCCGTTTAATTCAAATTGTATTCAAGGAATCCTGAAACCTCATGCACAAAATGGTAGTTGAGTCTTGAGGTGTGATTTTAGTGTTATAACCTCCAGCCATTTTGCAAAGTCACTACAGTCTCTGTGCTTTAAAGTCTTCCGTGCTTTCTTAAGCAGTTTGCCTCTGGTTTCACGGGTGTTTTCTCAGCTGACCTCATCCTTTCTCATTAGCCTCGTGCCTCACTTGCTGTCCCAAAGCCTCCGAATGCTCTAAGCCAGCTGCCTTGTGCATGGACTGTTGCATGTGAGTAGATGGCCATAGTGGTGAGTCATGTGACTCCTGCTGGGTGTGGCATGACCTAAGTGCAGTGCAGGCCATCTGCAGGCACCAGCGACAGACCCTGCCAGGCGTGCTTTGTGCGGTAGCCACTAGCACTGCCCTGAGAGATACTCTGCTGTCCTGGTGCTCACATCCCGTGGGGACTGGTCTTCACCACCCCTTCCCTTGGCTCCTGCGCCACAGAGTAGGGAGCCCACCCCTGACATGGGGTCTTGTGAAGAGACTGGGGCCAGGGCAGGCTTCTTTCTGCATGACGCGTTCTGCAGGAGTCCAGGTGACGTTAGGTCAGAGGGCCTCAAACAATAGGCCCCGAGGAAGCAGACGGGGTCTCCCTTTCCCTAATAACAGTGTTTTTACTTTATAGATTTATTCCAAAGAAAGCAGCTCTGTCTTCCCCAGGTGGCTCTGGTGAGAGAGCCTTTGTGCTCCTGAGCAGACGGGTCATGTGGGCAGAGACTCTGCGTTTGAGCCCGTCTCTCCTCTCCCTCGCCCTCCCTCTCTCCCTCTCCTTCGTTTTGTTTTTCTTTTCCAGTTTCATTTGTTTTGTTTATATTTATTTTACTTGTTAAAGGGGTGGGCCTAAAAACCAACTTTCCACTGCTGATACCGATACATAGTGCTGAGTCGCAGTGCTGAGGTGTCCCCAAGCACATGTGTAGTAGCAGCTGTGAGCTGTATTTGCTGTTGGCTTGGGGATACACGAGATCACGTGAGGTGTCTTGGGAAGCCGTGTGTGCCCATTGAAGGGGAGGTCTCGTTCCGCAGCTAGGTGTGTTTCTTACCGTTGCGGAACAGTGCACACTCCATGCTGTGCTCCCAGGTTGGTATGTGAACTCACCGTGACTGTTCTTAAGTTTCAGACATGTTCAAGCTTCTGAGGTTATTGGGTTAATGTTTTGACTAAAACGTATGTTTAATAAAAAGCTGGAGTTATTTTTATCTGAGAAGATAATCATCAGTGAGTACCTCCCAGCTCATGCCCATCCCACATTTCCCTTCACAGCGGCTAAGCATCGGCCAGTTCTGTTGCTTTCTTTAAAGCCTTACGGTTTTTGGCTACCCTCCTGCCTCCTTAAAGTACTCTGAAAGGCACACCATCGCTGGCCTTGTTTTAATGTTCAGTGCCCGCCCATGCCGGAGAATTAGAATTTGATGAAAAATCTCCTATTTAATCAGAAATCAAAAAAATCCAGCATGTGAAAGGCACGGTGTGCTGATGCTTCGCACTGAAACTAAAACAGCCTTATGATGAGAACTCATGGAGCGCTTTACATTTGTTGGGGATATTTTTGTAACGCTCTGAAGTATTAAGTTATATAAAATATTCAACATCACCAAACTCTCCACTGGGCAGCCACCACGCACACCCGCACAGTAATTTTCTTGAGTTGAGCAGGCTCTGCCGGCATTCCGATGCTCTCGTTGATCTCCATGCAGAACTTCGGTGATGCCCACTTTTGCCCACAGTGCGGTCTTTCCCTCCACCTGGATGGCAACATCACATTGCTTTTCATGACCCTGCCATCTCATGCTACCAGCGGCTTTGGCATTGATGACTCTCAGGGCAGTGAACCAATGTGCTCTGCAGGGTCTCTCTCTCACACACACACACACACACACACACACACACACACACACACACACACACACACACCCCGGCCCTGACTAGTCCACGGGAGTCACAGAGCATCGCTCTGTCATCAGCCTGTACTGGGCCCTAGTTTTCCACTAGGCCTTGTGGATGGTGTGTGCTGGTCAGTCACGACTTGGGTTCCTATTTGCACATGCCCTGCCCTGATCCCCCTGCTGTGGTGACAGGGGGTGTGGTCATTGGTTCATTCTCTGTGATGTCTTTGCATGACCAGGTGTGAGACACATTGGACAGATTGGATGCTGTGGTGTCATGTACTGTTGTCCCAATTCTGACTTTTCAACTGTTCTTGATATTTGCAGTGGACTAAAGAGGATGGACATAGAACCTCCACCTCTGCTGTCCCTAACCTGTTTGTTCCATTGAACACTAACCCCAAAGAGGTCCAGGAGATGAGAAACAAGGTGAGTATCGGTGGCTGTCAGCCCTCAGTGGAAATTTGCGTGTGAGCAGAGGCAGCAACAGGTTGGACGGGGTGCAGAGGGCACTTGCCCCAATGGATGGCATCTGTTGTCATTGCTTTTGCGGCAAAGGCCAAGTCTTTTCACTGCTTCTGCTATTGTGCTAACAAGTGTGATGTGTGAGTGACGGTCTGGGGCCCTGTGGTTCTTGAGCAGATGCTTGCTCAGCTCACATGGCAGGCAGGATTGGAAGCCAGAGAACCTGTTTCTGGTGAGAACAGCCTTTGCCCCTGCATTCTAGCGTTCACTTATTGAGCTGTGAATGTTTGCTGGTTAGAACATGAGATGTACCAGTGTTCCGGGTGTTGCTATAACATGGGCACATGGGGAATGTTCCCCCTCAACATAATGAGTACGGTGAGAGATCTGTGCTTACCCAGGCCATCTAGAAAGTACAGAAAGGAATGGATTAGTCCATCCCCTACGACTCAGGAACTTCTCAACAAGCTGGACTGGCAGCATTGGGTGGGCACTATGGCCGTGTGGGACCGTGAGGGCCAGGTACAGAAGTGCAACTTGGGTGTGGTTCTGGGGCTCCAGTGCCCAAACAGTGAAGTCACAGGGAGGCTTCCCTGTACTGTTAATGTGTTTCTCCTTCTTGCATCCTCAGATCCGAGAGCAGAACTTACAGGACATTAAGACGGCTGGCCCCCAGTCCCAGGTTCTGTGTGGTGTAGTGATGGACAGGAGCCTAGTCCAGGTGAGAGCTCAGAATGTCTGACGTTAGTGGGTGGTGCCTCTAATGGCTGTCTACTCCAAAATTATTCTTGAGTTGGGAGAGAATGACTCAATGAGGTAAGTGTTCTAGGCAACCAATTATCTCCGTGAAAAATCCTCACGATAAATAACCCTGCCACTTTTTCTGAAGTTGTAGACTTAGCATAAGCATGCCCACGGGCCGCATCCTCCCCCAGCCCTGCTCCATGCAATGCATGCCTGCGTGAAGGTGGCATACATGCCGCCTGCTTTGGGACCTGGATGTGCCCTGATTTTAGCAGTACACTGTGGAAAAGGCTAGAAGAGGGTGGGTTTAATGGACGTTTTGTTCTCATGTACACATTGCTATCTGCAATAAAGTGCTGCTTGGGGAAAAGTGCTTACAGAGGGCATCTGTAAATGTGAACCGCATTTACATGCCTTTCTGTAAAGGGACTATACTTCGTGGCCCGTTGAAGATAATCATGTAAGTGGTTATCTCTGGAAATGAAGTTGCCACCGAATGCGTTAACCATGACTGCAGGGTAGGTGACTGCTTTCCGAATGTGGTCAGCCGGGGTCCTGGTTGTGTGGTCTGTGCTTGCATGTGGCACCGCCATCACCAGTGCTTTCATGTGGACGGCTATCTGCTGCATGCCCTCAGCTGGCTCCACCCTGCGCTCTCAGTTGATACTTCAAAGCTGGGCCTGGTGGGCTCTGATGACTCAGTTTACTGTTGCAGGACGCACCCCTCTCTGACTGTACGGAGACAATCGAAGGGCTCGAGCTCACAGAGCAGACCTTTAGTCCTGCTAAACCCCTCTCTTTTAGAAAGGTACTCACTGCCCTGTCCTCACCACCTGTCAGCACGTGCCGCACTCCACCTGCCCGACCCCACCTGTCTGCTCTCGCCAGCTGCTGTCTTACTGATGGAGGAGCTTTAAATTAGTTTCTGAGTTACTTGTGGGGTTGTGCAGAGGTTCTCTTCTGCCTCTTCTTTAATGAAGACAATTTTACAACTGTCATTATTCCACAAGGTTGCAGAGAATGGGCCCATCTTAATGGCGTGGTGCCTTTCTGAACTTGTGCACGTGACTTTGGGTAGTGCATGCTTTTGGGTTTTAGTTTGCCTTTTATAAGATGCTGATTGCAAAAGGCTTGTGTGGGCAGACCGTGGGCAGTGGCAGTGCTCCTCTGTGGCCTTCTACCTTTGCTTGCTCAGCTGTGACTGCACGTGGAGTGGACCTGGCAGCGGGAGGGTATGTGATTTCAGAGGAATAGGAAAGAAATCAGACCAGTTTTTATTGATGAAATATATTTCTTTTTTTCCCTTAAAAACTTAGAGATAAATTTTTTAAAGTTTTTTTTTTAAAGGTCTTATTTATTCATGAGAGACACACAGAGAGGCAGAGATACAGGCAGAGGGAAAAGCAGGCTGCATGCAGGGAGCGCAATATGGGACTTGATCCCAGGACTCCAGGATAACGCCCTGGGCTGAAGGGAAGTGCTCAACCACTGAGCCACCCAGGTGTCCCAGAAAACATATTATTTATTTAACTTGAGAGAAAGAGAGTGAGTACATGAGCAGTGGGGAGGGGCAGAGGGAGAGGGAGAAGCAGACTCCCCACTGAGCAGGGAGCCCAACTCAGGGCTTAACCCTAGGACCCTGGGATCATGACCTGAGCTGAAGGCAGACACTTCATCAACTGAGCACCCCAAGCGCCACCCCCCTCAATGATTTTTAAAAAGTGGTGGTGGGGAGACACAAAACTTTGAAGTTCAAAGTTGTCTGTGTATATGGATACCAGAGGTGGCAGGTGGGAGTGTGTGTGGTGGTAACTCGCCCAGGTGGAAGGAGACTTCCTGTGAGCATTTGGGCTGAAGGTGTGCTCCTTGGTGCTGAGGGCGGACATCCTGAGTTTTAGTCATGTTTACCCTGTGTTTAAAGGAAATATAGGGGTATCTCTTTTTGACTTTGTACAGCTCCACTGAGATGCAGGTATCACTGTAGTGATATTCCAATTGCCAGAAAGAAGCAGATTTGTATTAAAGGTTCTATATTCCTAAGTGGAATTCCCACCCATAATGTTATTTTGCATACTTCTGTATTAATTCCACGGGTCCTATTTCTCCTTATTGATTGAATGTGCTTCCAGCTTCCTTTCTTGGAGCAAGGGAGAAAGATGTGCTTATCTTGCGTATCTCAGTTCTTTGGGCTGTAAGCTGTTGTGATCTTGTGAGTTCATATTTTTTTTCCCTCAGATGTGTAATGGTGTGCTGAATCCATGAGCCTAGGGGGCAGGGGGCTTACTGTGCAGTGTCCACCTGTGGCTGTCACCTGTCACTCTGTGGGCAGAGCTGGTTGGAGCAGTCATTGCTCTGCAGTCTCTCTGGCCCTGTAGCACATGTAGTGGTTTCTGCTTACACCCTGTCAGGGCTCTCTAAAAGGTGGGCTGCATTTAAAGGGGGCTTTTTTGGCTGGGTCCTCACTAGCCCCAAGTCTGTTGTTGCTCTGGCCATGTCAGGCTTGGCTGTGTGTCATGTCACCTGTGAGTGTTTCATGAAGTATAGACACAAGTCCTCCCAGGCCAGGAAATCCGAGTTGGTGGGAATGGGACTCCTGGCAACTGCAGTGTCCTCCTCACGGTGTGAACACCGCACTCTGTGTGAGTGGTGCATCCAGGTGGGGTTACCTCAGGAAACTCTGCCCAGCCCAGCTGAGGTGTCCCTGTCCCATCCCTAGATTCTCCTTCCCGCTTGCGTTTTCTCCAGCACCCTTCTTCTGGGGCTCACATGTGCACCCGTGGTCTTTCTCACACTGACTAAGCAGATTTCATGTCTATGTTGAGAATATGATTCGGCTCTAGGCCTCGACGGTCCCCACGTCTTTTGTGTGGTTCTCAAAAATGCAGACTGTATTGCTCCTTCTACAATATGGCGCTGCTTGCCTGCACTTTGAGTTTCCCTTTGACCAAGTGAAAAGGGCTTTGTTAAATATCCTAAAAATGTCCTTTTTCCTATAAGCAGGTGTATGGATCCTTGCATTCCGTTTGAGACTCTGAGGAATGTGTGTTTGGGACATAGGAAGTTAGGGCTTTTAAGAAGGACTTCCCTTTGCTTCCATCTCTCCCTCCCTGACAATGGCCGTCCATTCAGAGCAATGTTGTCTTCTGATGGAAGAAGTGGCTGTGAACTGTCAGCCACACCCTGAGACTGGTTCCGAAAGGAATCCTGAGTTCAGCTGAAGGCTCTCTTGACTCCAGCACGCACGGTGCCTGCCGGCACGTAGCCTGAAATAATCTGGTGCCTTCCGGACTTGGTTACTAGTGAATCAAGCCTGTGAGACGTCAAGCAGACAAGTTGATGCTGAAAGATACCCTGTGCAGGCAACACTTGTGTCTCCCTGTTCTCCATGTTCCCCTGCACTTGGGCCATGGCCTTCCCACGCTTCGGGCTGCATGGTAGAAACAGCAGGGGCCTGAGCCCACCTGGCACACTTACTTGGTAAACTTGTTGAGCAACCACAAGTGTGTGGCCCGAGACTAAGAATGTGAATTCCAAGCTGAGTGGGTTTTACGGAGGAAAGCCTGATGCTCGGACAGGTTGGGTCATAGCCGTGTTCGTATTGCTCGCCAGCTGTCTTCGCCAAGTGCAGAAGGAGTTCCTGGGCACCGGGTTTGCTTAGAGCCTCTGTTCTGTAGCTAGAAGTGGGGGAAGCAGCAAGAGCCTCCATGTAGCCTGCTGGTGAGAGCAGCTGCCTTCCATCCTGCTTTCTCAGCCCAGGCTGCTCTGTAGGGGCCGTTTCCTTCTGCATCCCAAGCCTTGCTCCATTTCCTTCCCCCCTAGAGAACAGGGTCCCTCTGTCCCCTAGTCTGTTCTGAGCCTTGGTGTTGGTGGCCACTTGGCTGTTGGCTGAGGAACTGGGAGGAGGGAGGCCCTGTATGGTCAGGTGTCTCTGCACAGGAGGGGCTTTGCTTATCCACAGGCGCCTCTGTGGCAGGTGATTCTTGATATTTTATTCATTCCTTGATTTGAAATTTTAAGTTAATTGAAACCTTTCTCTGAAACCTCATGTCACCTCCTCATTTTATTGGCCATGATACCAGGATGCAGGTACATTGGGCCAAGTTGCCCTTGATTTACAGACCGGCTCAGCTGCTGTCAGCCACAGAGCTGGAGCCTGTGCGTAGGAATAGGCTTCAGTGGGCAGTGAGTGGCAGGCAGGGATTCAGTTCCCTGTCTTGGGGAGACAGGGCTGCTTCTGAGTGAAAGGCCAGTTGACCTTGGGTCAGCATTGGTCAGAAGGAGCCCCCCAACCCCGACCATCCAGGTCATCTTGAATCTTGAGGCACTCTGAGCAAAGGGGGCCAACTCCAGCGGGTTCTTTGCTTCTCCTCCCTGGCTCTGTGGCCATGGTCAATCCTGGAGTGTGCTGAACAGCTGTGCTTCAGCCCAAGCTCCCTAGGCTTTGTCAGGGCAGCAGGTATCCCAGGTGAGCTGGAATTTCCCCAGCACTCAGTTTGGTGCTGTCTCTCGGGCACATTGCTCGAGTGCTCTCTCTGCTGTTTGGCCCTTACTGAGGGGAGTATTGACAGACCCTGCCTAGTATCTGAATTTTGGATTCTGCTACTGTGGTTTGTTTTTGGAAGCTCCCATTAAGTAATGTGTGTGTGTGTGTGTGTGTGTGTGTGTGTGTGTGTGTGTGTGTGTGTGTGTTGGCTAACTTTCTCAGAAAATGAACCCCTGGCATTTGAGGGCCAACCAGGTTGGGTGGTAGAGCACAGAGCTGTGCTAGGGCAGGTGAGTGTAGGCAGGACTTCCTGCACCCCAAGGCTGCCTCCCTCACGGGCTCCTCCTTCCAGGGCTTCCTCCCCACCCCACCCTTCCCAGCTGGGGCTGCCTCCCTGCCAGCCACCCTTGTGCTCTGCTTGCTTACTTTTCTCTTTCTTTCCTACACGTTCTTGGTTTTCCAAATTCCTCAGACACATACTGGTATTTTTGGACTTCCTAAAAAATTTCTTTGTTTTGGGACGAGATCCAGGAGCTAGTTATAAACTCAACACATAGTTAAAAGAACAGAACTCAATCTGCGAACTTAGAAAGTAAGCAGATCTCCGAGCATACCTTCCCTGACTTGGAATCCTGGATGTTTTTTGATGTCCAGAGGAGGGCAGTGGACTGACAAGTCAGCTCTTCCATCCCTCATGGGAAGGAGACTGCATTCCTCTTGAGGTGCTGTGTGCCGTCCATCTGCACTTTGGTGCCTCTGTCTCTGAAACCTGAAGGACTAGGATTGTTTTCTCCTCTTAATTTGTTTTGTAGCTTCAGAGTTGTGTTTCTCTGTGTCTGACCACTGGAGGCTGCTGCTCAGCCTCAGCCTCAGGGCCGGGGTGCTGCCCTGGATTCCCCAGACGGCTGTGTGCTCCGAGAAGTTTGCCCACCCCGCCCTGCCTGCAGCCTGGCCTGGGAGGGGGGAGAGGTCCCTCAGGCAAGGCTTCTCCAAACCACCTGTCCCTTTTCATCTGCAGGGGGAGCTGGTGACAGCCTCCAAGGCCATCATTGAGAAGGAATACCAGCCCCATGTCATCGTGAGCACCACAGGCCCCAACCCCTTCAATGCGCTCACCGACAGAGAGCTAGAAGAGTACCGCAGGGAGGTGGAGCGGAAGCAGAAGGGCCCGGAAGGTGAGTGTGTGCACATCGTGGGCACTCAGCGTGGGCTACCTGAAGCCAGAGAGGCTGCCCTGCCAGCACTTTGTGCCCAGGTGTTGATGGTTGATGGTGAGTGATGAGGACAGTCACTTGCAGGAAAAGTCAGCCCTGTGTGTGGTTAAGATTCGAATGTTAGGGCACGTTTCCTAGTTCCAGGGAGGTCAGAAGGAGAAGCATACTTGTAGAACCGTATGCTCAGGAGGGACCTGCAGACCAGCTGTGTAAGACACTGTGTGGGAGAGCTGGACTGCTTTCTTTCTGCACAAACCATGGGGGTCCTTCTGGGCAGGGTGTGATCGCAGGCTCATGTGCCAGCATGTTGACTGCTCTGGCACATTCCCAGGCTAAGTGAAGAGTGTGGCTACATGCTGGTGCAGCCTTTATTTCTCCTGGTAACTAACTCACTGACCCAGGACATCATCTTTTTGTAAAACAAAATGAGACTATTTTGGAACAAATGAGAGTGAATGACTCTTAAGAGTCAGAACCTCATGGAGTAGTTTCAGACTTTACATTTTAAAAAGTAGATCCAAGAATTTTGAGAACCTAGCCTCCCCCTGCTTTGGCCAAGAAGGCACAAGTGGTCTCCTGCTTTCCCTGAGCACCTTTGGCTGGTTACCAGGAGGAAGGCCCTGGGCATAGACACCCCCAGCCAGGAGGTTCAATGGTGTGTCCTCAGGGCCATAACTTCCAACCCCGGTCTTTGTACTAAAGCCTCTGCTCTTAAGCAGGGACCACAGCTCAGCTTGTTCCCTGGGAATCAGCCTTCAGGAATGGAAGTCCTGCAGTGTTCCATAGCCCTGGGTCCATGCGGATTGTCCAGGCAATTACGTATTGTTCTTCAGATAACCTCTGATTTGCCCCGATTTAGGTTCTTTTGGTCTGGTTTTAGACCAGCTAATGCATTTTGTAGATGCTGTTGATATTTGTGTTGTGCAAAAAATTATTATTGAATAACTGTTTTCAGCGTGTGTTTACAGCATCACCGCCTTCTGTTAGCTGTGCATTAGAATTAAGATTACCACACATCGAATCAGAATGAGCCCGGTGTTCCGGTCACATCGCACTCCACTTCTGATCATTGCCCTTAAATGGTACATGTAGCCCTGCAGAGAGCTGTGTCTGTGCTGTTGCCATAAGTCCCTGCCCCAGGGTGGTACATGGGCCTGAGCTCTTGGTCTTGTCAGTGAATCCCAATTCCAGTGCACACACGTGTCTGCCCTTTGGGCCCTTCCAGTGTCTGGGAAATCTAGATTATAAGAAAATGTTTTTTGAGTCAAATCACAAGACACATGGGAGCTTCCTTCACATGAGGCTCCGCGAGGAGCAAGGTTTTCAGCAGTTGAGTGGATAGGATGGCTGTGACCATGCTCTGATTAAAGAGCTGGCAGATCAAAGAGCTGTCAGCAGTGGGAGTGCCAGCTGAGGGACACTGCCAGGAGACCCCTGCCCGGTGCTGGTGCTGGCCTTTGGCAGGGGGGCTTTGGGGGCCAGGGCTCCTGTTGAGGGAGCTTGTGGGAGATGGAAAGGCCTTTGTTCATAGATCTCTGGCTTCAGGAAGGTGGGTTGGCATCTCTGTGAGATCAGAGGCCTTGCGATTGATTATAGCTGCTTGTTCAAAATACGAGACCTAGTGATGTTAAGCTACTAATATAAAAAGCTTAAACGGGAGAAGGAGAGTCAAGGAATTAAGATAACATTAGTACATATTTTTCCGTGAGTAGACTTGGAATTTTCTGGATTCTGGGTCCTAGTACCTGTAGTTTTTCCTCTGGTCCTCATCGGCATATTTTACTTCAGAAAATAAAGTTACAGTTGCCAAGTTTAAATTATTGATAGAAAATGCTCTGCATAAAAAACGCAAGCCAATGTGGTTCTCATGTTCCATCCTTTGAGGTGGCAAGTTGGGTAGGGTGCCTGGAACCCCAGGCTGCTGGCTCAGTGTGGAGAGGGGCTCCTCTCTGGAGTGCAGGGTCACAAAGTGGTTCTGGCAGATTCTTTCTGGAATAAGAATGGAGATGAGTTGTGTATACAAAGTAGGTTGAATCTTACTGAGATTCAGATCCACACCCCAGTCACAGTCGGCTTCTTCGTTCCCTTGGAGAGATGAAGACGGCATGGCCATGGGCCCTCCTTGTTTCTCAGATGCACCTGAGAAATGAGAAGCCTCAGCTGCCGTCTGCGAGGCAGGCGGGTGGACAGAGCAGGGGGGCTCTGTCTGCGTCTGAGGAGGGTGAAGGCCTGTGGTGTGTGAAGCCCTTCACTGTGTTTCTGTCACTCTACAGAGAATCTGGACGAGACCAGAGAACAGAAAGAAAAGAGCCCTCCAGAGCACGCTGCTGCCCCCCACACCCCCCCCAGCACCCCTGTCAAGCTTGGGGAAGGTGAGCTCCAAGGGTATGAGTGTGTGGCCGCCCTGCTGGGGGAGGGTGCATGGCCTTGTGTGGTCCAGTGTCCGCCACAAGGGCCGGACTTTGTGTTCTGTCCAGAGCGGGGGAGCAAATGAGTGTCCGTGTTACCCTGACGGTGGTGGAGAAGCGTGCATTCTCGTAGAAACCAGCATGTCACATGGCTCTGAACTGGCCCATCTCCCTTGCTCCTGTTTTGGTTCTGTCCTGGGGAATAAAACGGATTTATTAGTGAGACGTCAGGTCAGGGTGGGAGGACAGGCTTCAAGGGTCGGATCTCACCTTCATTTATGATGCCAGCTCTGCCCACTGCTTACACGTTTCTTAAACCTCACCCTCTGGAAGTGTCTACCATCGTGTCTGGGCTGCAGGACCGTGTGTGGCCTGCTATAGTGACAAGTCCATGTCGTGCTGGCCTCCAGTGGCCCCTCAGACCACCTGCTGTGTGTGTCTGTGGGTGTGTGGCTCTTGTGTCTGTCCCTCAGTCTTACGTGTTGTGCTTCCTGTGCCTGTGGGGAGCCTGTGGCTCGCCTTCCTCCCCACTGTCTGTCCACAGAATGGCTCAGCCGTTCTTCTGTAACCCAGTGGCTGTGACTGAATGCCTAGATTCTCTCCCTGTGCTTTTCTCTTCCTGTGGCTGCGTTACAAACAGGAGGTGGATGTGCTAAAGAGTACCTGTTACCATAGTAAGTACCGCCGCGTTTGGCCCTCTGCTGCTTAACCGGAATTCCCTGTGCTTTGCCTCATTTTCCTGCTTCTTTGTTGCTTATTAAGTTCTGTTTTCTGTTTATTCAAAATAAAGGTAGAGCCCCCCCCAGCCCATCCTTTCTTGTACCCAGTTTCTCCATCCCAGGCAGTGGCATCTTGGTGGGGGGGTTCGGCCACCCCAGAGCTGGGTTGTGGGGTGGGCCCCGGAGCCTCCTGGAGCACTCTGGGTCTCAGGGGTTCCAGAGCAATCCTGTTGCCCTGCTCCGCCTGTGATGCCTGTGATTGCTAGGCGGTCGGTAGATCAGACACATGTAGGCGAGGTTCTGTGGTGGGGGTTGGGGGTGTGGGGTTTACCTCCTGCTGCATGTAGGTTGCTTGGGTTTGGATCTTTGCTTAAGCTGAGTGCTTAAGCATCCTTGGGGATGAGGCGGGAGAGCGCTGTTCAGTGCTGTTTCTCAAGTGATATTTGGTCACTTAAAGTTCTCTGGAGGCACCCACGGGCAACCTGGGCATGCGGGGTGAATGCTAACTTCCTCTTGCCCCCGCTGAGTAAGGACATTTAACTGTCCTGGGACAGAAGGTGGCCAGGGGCCAGGCTAGGGTGGCCACAGCCTCCCAGAGCCGAAGCACTAAGTGTTTGGAGCCTGGAGCCTCCAGCGGCTGGCCATGTGCCTCACCCGCACTGAGTCCCCTGTGGGCCTGCGGCTTCATTCTCCGTACTGAGGTTTAGTGTTGCCTAAGCAGCCGGTCGCTTGTAATTCTGTATGATGTTTTAAAAAATTTACAAAACTGGTTTCCCCCTAGTCAGAGCCCATGTAGACTAATGTGCTGATAGGGCATTCCCTGGGAACTCCCCCGAGGCTGTGTCTTTATGGCGCCTCCCACTTTGCCCTTTTAGTTTCCACCTTCTGGGCTGAGGCTGGCCTGGCTCTTGACCCCATCCCTTACCTTGCAGTTCCTCTCCCTTCTTTCATTCTCCAGCCTAAAATGATTTCATTCTGTTTGACGTGGGTAGCGCCCATGGGGTCTGGGAGCTAACTTTGGTTTTCCATGGTTTTCTCCTTGCGGAGACCAGGTGCTGTGGACCCAAATTTAGGCCTCATTTCAGGACTAATACATGCTCACAGGGTTCTAGAACAAAACCTTGGTCAAGTTGTTGTCCTACTGCAGTTCCCCCTGCTTGCGCACCTTTGAGCAGAGCCCCCAAAGCCCCAGGACTGGGTCTGGAGCTGGAAATGACCCAAGGCTACATCTATGTTTCGTATGATGAGCCACATCCATCCCTGACGTAGAGTAGTCCTTTGTCAAAGTTTCTCACTCTTGTTGCAGTAGAAGCCCCTAGAGCCCAGCTCTGCGGCCGTCTCTGTGGGGCGCTGCCTCTCCCGGGCCGCCCCTGTCCCACTGCACTCTTCAGCCCTGTCTCTCGCCCCCTGCCCACCAGACCTGCCACAGGAGCCCATTTCCGGAGAGGACAGTGATGCTGCCACCTTCAAGCCAACTCTCCCCGACCTGTCCCCTGATGAGCCTTCAGAAGCGCTCGGCTTCCCCACCTTGGAGGAGGAGGAAGAGGAGGGGGAGGCACTCAGTGAAGCCCGCGAGCCTCCCAGCCCCACCGGTTCCCCCGTGGCGGCCAGCCCTGAGCCAGCCTCAGCCCAGGTGGCCGAAGAGGCTGCCTCCCCAGCTGCCGAGGAGGGGGCTGCCGTGGACCCTGGCAGCGATGGATCTCCGGGCAAGTCCCCTTCCAAAAAGAAGAAGAAATTCCGCACCCCCTCCTTTCTGAAGAAGAGCAAGAAGAGGAGTGACTCCTGAAGGCCCGTCCTGCACACACCAATGCCACCAGACTGTCCCCGATTGTGTCTCATGTTCTGTCTTCTTGTGTAACGGAATGCAAACAGCCCGTCCCTCCACATAGCTAGAGCTCCCCTCACGGCGTGACCAAATCCCCACGTAGACCGGTGCTAACCTCCTGGGCGTGTGCGGCGGGTGCTGGGAGAGACGAGCCTCCACGGCCCCTCAGCGTCCACCGTGCCCTTCTGGGACCTGCACCTCAGGGGCCGGGCTCTCCCCCGGGGCTGCACGTCCTGCTTCTGGCTGGACACTTGGAGGCCCTGCCCACCCTGGCCTTGCCCTCCCTCCTGTTGTGCAGTACCCCATGCTGTGTGTGTGCTAGGCTCCCCTTCATCCCCAGGCCTCAGGTGACCGAATCAGACTGGGAGCTTCCTGCTGGCATTACCTGCTCTGTGATCTTTGTTCGCAGCTAGAGCCTCAGTCTTGGGAAAGCACTCCGTGCCTGCCAGCAGTCCAGGGTATCCTGATGGCCTTTGAGAAGCGAGTTTGGGCTGAGCCGGGGACCTAGCAGCAAAGGGCTGGGTATACCTGACATGCCTTGTGCATGGTCTGATTGCCCTGAGGCCGGAAACAAAGGTAAGGGGCCCCCAGTTTCTCACTCACTGGGGTCTCTAGATTTCTCCTGTCATGGGGAAGATACATTAAGAGGGGGAAGAGTCCTTTCTAGAATTTTCTTTCAGATTTGCAATTCATCCTACGTTTTTGACCATGAACATGAATTGGCCACTTTTTGCTTTAGTTTTCTCCCTACAGCCTGCCACTGAGTGCAGCAAAATGCACTTCACTGATTTGGGCGGGGGCTTGGAACTGAGAAGGGATCTCCTCTTTAACTCAGCCTGAAAACATCTCCTGGTTTTGGGAAAGGGTAGCTCAAGGTAGAAGGGGACCCAGTGGTCTCTCCCCAACTTCTTACACTAGTCATTCATGGAGCCATGCCTGGCTCTCCTTGTTGGACGTCGTAAATTTCCACTGAGATTCCTAAAAAATCACGTGAAGCTGCTTAGTGGGAATTAGTGGGTGACCCATTCCAGGGGCCACCTGGTGCCAGCCTGACCAGGCACTGGCAAGCCTCCTCCTCGCACATGGGGAGGGGCCCCTGGTGGACCTGGTGCCAGACCTGGGCCCCACGCTCCTGCCCCCAAGCAGGACCTGAGACTGGCTGCATGGCGCTGACCGCTGCTTTAAGCTTTCTGGCGACGCTCTTCTCTGGTGTATCATGTTGTTGCCACAGTGGTGTTCAGGTTCTCTGCCCTCGCCCTGTCCTCCAGTTAACCATGGACTGTAGCCCTTCCTTTTGTCCCACATATGCAATGACTTTCATTTCACTTTTGTAGTTTATTTTAACTCTTTGTATCACAACATGAAGTTTAGTCGCATATATGGACACAGGCTTGGGAGGACGGGTCCTGTGTCCTTCACTGTAACATGTTTTACTCACAAATAAAATTCTTTAAGCAGTTTCTTTGTCTAAACTTGGAAAGTAGTTTTGCATCTTAATTCCTTTTCTTTGCTCCTTTAAGGTAGGACTCCCAGAAATTTGCCTTGAGTCCCAAAAAGGATCCCCAGGTGTCTTTTTAAGCTTTGAGAGAGAGGGAGGGAGAGAGAGCGAGCAAGCACACTAGTAGTGGGTGGGGGGGGGGGGGCAGAGGGATAGGGAATCTCCAGCAGACTGGACATCTCCAGACCCACCCCCCACCCCAGTGCAGATCCTGATGCAGGGCTTAATCCCACGACCCTGAAATCACAACCTGAGCTGAAATCCAGTCAGGCATTCAACTGACTGTATCACCGAGGTGGACCCATCACCGCTCTGCACCAAGTGTTTATTTCTTGATCAAAACACTGCTGCTTTGCACCAGGGAGGACCCTGCAGCCCAGAACTGCCCTCCGCAGGCAACGGCAGGACTTGTGATGGCGAGAGCCTGGCACAGGGGCCCCTCCTCCCCGGTCTGCCCCTGTGTTGCCTCATGTATGCTGAGCCCAGCCATGGAGGGCCCTGTGTCCAACCCTTTCTGTCATCCTCCTCCTGCAGAACGGCAGCAGATACAGGAAGAGCCTGGTGGCCCCCAGGGTCAGGGGTGGCAAGGTACAGCAGTGTACTGGAGAAAGGCACTGGATATAAAATAGCTGCTTTATTTTGCCATCCCGTGGTCTGGCTGACATCTGTGTTACTGAGAGAAAAGCCCCCAGAAAGCCTGGAAGGTTCTGGAGTCACTGCTCCCAGCCCAACCAGCAGGGCTGTGCAGGTCTGCACGTAGGGAGGGGCTGGGAGTGTCTCAGGGACCCTGGGGCTGGGCCCCGGGGGGAGGGGGGCGCAGGGAGGGGTACCGGCCCAGGGCCTCCTGTCCCCCAGCTCTGGGCAGGCAGGGCTGGCTCAGCTACTCGACCTTGAGTGTGCGGGCTGGAGGCCTCAGCTTCCTCAGGAGCAGGAAGGGGAGCAGGAAGAGGCCAGAGCACACGGTAAAGCAGACCCTGGCCCCCGCCAGCCAGTACACTGTGGAGATCCAGAGAGATGGCCTGAGCGGTCAATGGGCCCAGCCTGGGCCTGCAGCCCCCAGGCCCGGCCCCACCCCCTGGGGCACACGCCTGCCCAGAAGTGCTGTCCCAGGGCCCTCACCTGAGGCAGCCACCATGGGTCCCACTGCCCTGGCCAGGGCGCCCAGGCTTCGCAGTGTGCCCATGATTGTGCCTTTCTGCCCGGCTGAGCCTTTGGGGGAGAAGGGAGGCCATCAGGCTCCTGCTGCCTCCTCCCACCTGGGGACCTTGGGCAAGGGGAGGGCTTCTCACCATAGTCAGCAACCACAGAGGACAGGCAGGGCACCACCACGGCGGCAGCTGGCGGGGACACCCGAGAGGTGGAAGTCAGCCCACAGGAGACGCCAGGGGGGCCGTGACCCTGGACGCCTGGCCCCTGGCTTCCACCCGTGTCCACCCTGGCCCTCTCACCAGGTGCCCACTCACCGAAGGAGTAGAGCAGCAGCCCCAAGCCCAGCACGGGCAGTGTGAGCCCCCAACCGATGAGGAGGAAGGCGGGCACAAGCAGCAGGATGGCCTGCAGATGGGCGCAGCAGGGTCAGGACCCACCCCCACGCTTTCCAGTGGAACCCGCGACTCGCCCTGCCCCCCGCCTCTCCCGGGGGAGCTTTGTACCCGCTTCACAGCTGTGATCTCCCCACCAGGGCTGATCCTCCGCGCGTAGGCCCCCTGCACAGCAGCCATGCTGAGGCCGATGAAGAAGAACATCTTCCCCTGCTGCAGGCTGGGAGTGGGGGAGCCGTGAGGGCTTCAGTTCTGCTGAAGCCAGGGAGCCCCGGTGACAGCTGGGTCCCTGCAGTCCACAGGGGGTGGGAGAGGCAGGACAGGGAGACGGTGGGGGGTGGCCCCCCGGAGGCGGGGGGTCAAGTCCTTCAAGGGGCCTCGGCAGCCCTACCTGCTGAACTGGAAGCGCTGGTGGGCAAGGAAGCTGAGCGTGTACTCCAGGCCCGAGAACAGGAAGAGGTAGAGGAAGTACACCAGGCCCAGGCGGCGCAGGCTCCAGAGTCCTGGCAGGCAGTGGAGGTTGGTTGTCAGGGGTCCACAGCCCAGGCGATGGCAACTGGAGGGAGCGACAGCCCCACCCTTGTGAAGGGGGGTGACTCCTTACTGTCTCCAGCAGGTGTGTCCTGACTGTGAGTCACAGCCGAGAATCGGAGCAGGGCCAGGGGGCTGAGCAGGTCAGCAGCAGCTCGGAACCCGGGGGTGATGGAGGGTGCCTGGGATGGGGGCGGGACTGGAAAGGCCTGCCAGGTGGCCTGGGAGGGGCAGGATCTCCCGCCCTGGGCTCCAGTCCACCTGCCAGGCCTTCCTGGCAGGGGCCTCAGGAGGCTCTGTGGCCCCTTGCCTCTGCACACCAGGAGAAGAACAGCCCAGCCTCCCCTGGCATCTGGGACTGGCACACACGATGGGTATCCCCGCGTGCCCACATGACCCAGCCCCCAGCCCTGGGACCCGACAGTGGTTTCTTCCTGGGTCCCACCTTACCCGCTTCTCTGGAAGCAGCGTCTCTGGCAGGAAGCAGAACATGAACAACAGGTCGGAGACCGCGAAGAGCAGGGCGAGCCAGGGCACTGTCTCCGAGGGCAGTGAGGCGCCAAGCATGGGGCCCAGTGTGAAGCCCAGCGAGAAGGCCACCCCAATGACTGCCTGGGAAGAGGGCCACCTGAGCTAGGCAGGAAGGCCCCAGCCAAGGAACCCCCAACCGCTCATCCCCACCTCCTGCACGCACCATGCCTCGGCTGCGCGCGGAAGGTGAGCTCAGGTCAGCGATGATGGCCGTGGAGAGGCTGACGTTCCCCTTGCTGATGCCCCCAATCACCCTGGAAGCCAGGAAGGCTGCGAAGCTCCTCGAGGTGGCCCATACGGCATACGACATGACCAGACCTGTCTGCCTCGGGGTAGCGTCCACAGGGTGGGTATGGTCACTTGAGGCTGGGAGGGGCCCAGAATGGGGCCAAAAAACCCAGGCAACACCCTTGGGGCACTGCCCTGTTCTGGAGCGCCCAGGGTCCCTAGTGTCCCCATAGGTGGCAGGAGCAGCTCTGGGAAAGCCTGGCTTAGCCACAGGAGCCACCTGCACCTCAAGCACCACACCCAGGGGGCAACGAAGGGCTAGCAGCCAACCCCCTTTCTCCCCAGAGGGCTGCCAGGTGGGCGAGAGAACTGCACATTCCCATGCCTTGGGTGCCACGTACCAGGGACAGCAGCATCGTGGGGCGCCTCCCCAAGCAGTCAGAGACTGCCCCCGTGAGTGGTGCCAGGAGGAACTGCAGGAAGGAGAAGACGGAGCCAATCAGACCTGTGAGAAATAGACATTCTGGTCACCACGACAGTCTGTTCCCAAAAGTCTGATCGCTTGGGGTGGGCCCTGCACTCCCCAGCCGGCTGGGGCGCCTTGACAGTGAGTGGACACAGCACTTGGGTAGGGGGCAGACAGCACCCAGGAGCAGGAGTGTGGGGACAAGGACCGGAGCCCAGGCAGGACCACAGGGGCCCCACACGGGGCTGGGGGCCGTACCTCCAAACAGGACGCTGTTGTACCTCTTCTCTGCTGGCATCCTGATGGCTGCGGCAAACCAGTCCACACCTCGCTGCCACGAGCCATAGAGGGGGTCCTGGGGAACATGGAGGTGTGACAGGGTTTGGGGGCAGTGGGCAGCCGTCCTGGGAGTCCCGAGGCCTCTGGACCTGGGGGAGGTCTCACATGGGCACGACTGTGGCTCTCCAGCAGTCCTGGCAGCAGGGGCAGCAGCAGAGTGAAGGCCAGGAGGTCCAGCAGGAGGCCGAGGAAGACCACAGTGATCACGCGGGTGTCCTGAGGCGTCTGCTGGTGGATGGGGGGGCGCGGGGTGCAGCTGCCTCCGGCTCCCCAGCCCATGACGGCTGCTGGGATCCCGCCTGGCCAACGGGGGGGGAGGGCAAGTCTGCATGGAGCCATCTCTGGTCCCCAGCACCCACCATGCCCCCAAGCAGCCAACGGCCAGCAAGCACCCTCACGGGAGCGCCCCCTCCCCGACCCCGGGCAGCAGGAAACGCAGGCTGTGGACTTGCGCAAAGAAACCACAGCCACTGATGCCAACCGTCCCAAGAGGCCGGATGGGGGCATCGCGGCCTCGGGGCACCTTCCCACCCCACGGCCCCGTGCGGAGCGGGCAGGGAAACTGAGGCCCGCGCGGAGGTTGGCCCCGGCGGGGGCGCGGGCGCCTGCGCCTCGAACACCCCGGGATCCAGCCCCCCGGCCCCGACCTGCCCCGCCCGGGACCCCGGCCCCCGCCCGGATCCCTCCAGGGCGGGACGGTGGCGCGCGCACGGCACGCGGGGGCAGCCCCGCCCTGCACTTGCCGCGGTCGCGCGCTCGGGCCGGACAGACGGACACGGACACACGGACGGAGACGGACGCGGAATGGGCCGCCGCCGGGCCCGGGGGCGGGGCGCCCGCTGACCACGCCCCGCCCCGGAAGTGGGGGCGGCGCCGCTTCCCCTTCCGGCCGGCGCGCCCGGGGGCCGCGGGGTCCTCCCCTCTCCGTAGCAACAACTTCCTTCGGCGCCTTCGCCTCCTCCGTCTGCACCCCTGACCTGGCTGCCGGGGTTCCCGCGACCCTGGCCCACCCGAAGGTAATGGCAAGCCTGGGGAAGCTGGCTCGGCTTCCAAGCACCCGTGTGTCCACTGCCACCCCTTGTCAGCGGGCCCTCATACACCGTATTAAAACCCTGAAAATAATAGTGACACTGCCTGAGAGGCAAGGAGTCCACCCTCACCCAAAAGGTGACCGCTGTCACCGAAGGACCTTTGGGCCTCTCCCTCTTCAGTGGCCTGTGGGTTACCCTCGAGGCGCTACCTTCCTATCTTGGATGGTGGGGGCCCTGAGGAGGGCAGAGTGGAGGACGGAGGACTCCTCAGCCTGCACAGGAACTGCCCAGGGGCGTGTACCACCTTCTCCACAAGCCATCCTGCATAGTCCCTTCTGCAAGGCGGGGAGGCAGGGCTTCCACGAGCCAGCTCCACGGATACTCACATTTCCAAGAATTACGTCTGGAGTGGGGTTGGGGAAAGGCCCAGCGTGGGCAGAGTGGTATGTTCTGGTGGTACGGGATCCAAACGGGGGCTTTATGGGCTAGCTGTGGGCACATCCCGTCCTCATGGACCGAACACCCCAGCCTCTGACTTGGTCCCACTTGGTGGTTGGGCAAGAGTCCAGGACCAGGGACTTGGGTGAATTAAAGTAGCAAGAGCTGTGTAAGGGAGGCCAGGCCTCACTGGATGAGCTGAACCCGCCTGGTGCGTGGGTGTGACAGGACCTTCCGAACTGTGGAGCCGCACACCTGGCAGGGATGGCTCTGGCATCTTACTCAAGACCCAAGGCTGCTGTGGGCAAGCTCAGCTTCAGCCCCAATTCCCCGCAGGTACACTCAGGCCCCATACTCTGCATTCCCACACCCCCCAACTTGTCCAAAATCAAACTCCCCATTCTCCCCACCACGCAGTCAGGTCACCCTCTACTGGCCCCCACATCCATTCTGGCTCATCCTCAAGTCTCTGTGGTCACTGCTGTGGCTGGCAGTGACCCCAGCAACTGGCTTCTTGCAGGGCTGCTCAGCATTACCATGTGCTGTGTGACGTTGGCTCCCACCGCCAGCCTGAGCCCTGCGTTGCCTGTGTCACCTGCCGAGCAGAGGAGACTCGAGTGCCTCATGAGACATCACTGTGACAGAACAGGTCCTTACTCTCAGTCCCAAACGTGGGGATTAATGGGGTGTGTCTGCACATGATGGAGCACACTGGGGCCAGTGAAGAGACCAGGTGCACGGGACGGCAGCCTTTATTAACAGGGCTCATTAACAGGGCTCAGCATCTTCCTGCCTCATCTGTGAAACTACTTATTTTTTGAACTTTTTCCTCTTCAGAGCCTTCCATTCACCTTCCTGAGTGGCCAGACTGTTAAAAAGCTGTTTCACTTTTCGCTTTCTTTCCGCATCCCTTAAAAAAAAAGAAAAAAAAAATCATTTTTACATTAGGTTTTGCAGGATGTTTTGTCCTTTTCCCCACATGACCCACTGGCAGCTCATGTCCACATGGGCCAGGGCACTCACAGCAGGGAACACAGCAGTGACTACCTGGGCCCGGAAGCACCCTAGGGACACCTGCCACCACTGCCTGCTCACCGTTCCAAGGTCTCTGAGAGTTGCATCCGTGCCAGGAACTGGTTGTCCCTGCGGATCTCCCGGACTGCTCCTTTAAATTCACGCTTGTGTTTGTGGATCAGTCTTTTTCTTTCTTGTTCCTCCTTGCTGCTTCCCTGCTTCCTTCCAAACTCGAGGCTGGAGGGGTGGGGAGCCAGTGTCAGGGGTCCAGCCCACCTGCCTCCCCCTGCTGTCTGCCTCCTGAAAGCTATCCCTGCCCCTGCCCCCACCCACCCCAACTGGGCCCCTTGCAGTGGGGCTGGCACGCACACTTTGACCAGCCGGGGGGTGAAGAGCCTCAGTGGCACGGGCTTGCTCTTCTCACAGACCAGTGGCCGGCAGCGCTGGCTCTGCTTTCCCATGTCAGTCAGCGTGCTCAACGTGCTCTGGCACAGCTCCTGAAACACGGAGGGGAGCGGGGACACTGAGGCTGGAAGAGGCACGCCTTGGAGAGCGGACAGACTCGCCCACTGCCTTGCCCCTCTGGGCCCATGGCCTCCTCTGCTTACAGGGGTGTGGCCATGAGGAAGCCCCAGCGGCTCGTCAACAGGTGGGGGGGCCTGTGCACTGCAGGATGGCTCACACTTTTGGGGGCAGTACAGACCTGCTGACGCCCTTCTAGAAGGCTCCTGGGGCAGAGGAGTAGAAACAGCCAGTGCTTCAGCATCTAGCACATAGTGGAATTGCCTTTCCCAGAGGAACTTGTCACGATGGGCATGAATGACTCCCCTTCACATACATACATGGGAGCCCATCCTGTACCTGAGGCGGCCAGGGGTGCAGGGGCAGCCCACAGGGAGCTGTGCTATGGGCACGGAGCAAGACCTGATGGTCTAACCAACAGAGCCAGAGGTTTAAGGCACCTCCATCATGGCTGTGGCTCCCAGAAGAAACAAATGGCTGGGCTTCTGAGAAACTTTCTAGAAGCCAACCTGCTGACGGTTCTGTTCTTTTCCCTCATGTAAGTGTATCCTGGAACTCAAGCTTCTTGTGTCACAGGCATAGCCACCTGCACCCCTTGCCCAGAAGTTTGCCTCTGAGGGCCAGAGCCCGGTCTCCATGGGGACTACATGGAGAGCATGGCCAGCTCGGCCCACCTGTGGTCCAGGAACACCATCACGGCCCCTCATGTAAGTGTATCCTGGAACTCAAGCTTCTTGTGTCACAGGCATAGCCACCTGCACCCCTTGCCCAGAAGTTTGCCTCTGAGGGCCAGAGCCCGGTCTCCATGGGGACTACATGGAGAGCATGGCCAGCTCGGCCCACCTGTGGTCCAGGAACACCATCACGGCCCCTCCACCAGCCCAAATCCCGCGGGGCCCTTACTCCTGAGGAAAGTAAGGGAATAAGACATGGCTTTAGGGACAGCATTCTGGGCAGCGGGAAGGGCAAGTGTAAAGTGTCCAGATGAAGGGGTCAGAGCAGGCTGGGGAGCATGCCAGGTCGTCTGGCCTCATGCATCCCAGTCCTGCCTTCGCCTTGTGTCCCTCTGGCAGAAGACAGGGTGGGGAGGGGGCACACAGGGAAGGCCCTGGATGTTAGCGTCGGAATAAAAGACGTGCCAGGGAACGGAGGGAGCCCAAGACAACTGTTTAACAAACACGTGGGAGTTTCAGGCCAAACTTAGAACATCCTTTAAGTGTTCCTGTCACCTTGTGAAGGACAGTGGGACTGTCCTCAGAAAATCTGTGAGGCCCGGGGGGACGTGGATCTGGAGCCACCGCCCTGGCTGCAGGCACAGAGCCGTGGAGCGGCTCTTACACTGAAGAGCCGGAGTCCATCCAAGAGAACGGTTATTTGGGCTCGGTTGTCCCACCACCATAACTTCTAGAGCTGCGACCTCAAGGTGAGAAGGCCCACTAACCTGCTCCCCATTCCTGGAAGGAGCTCCGGGGCCAGGACTCACCTGGAGTTCCGGGGGGTGAGTGCGGTTGGCCAGGTGCTCTGTCAGCAGGGCCCTGAGTGGCCTCATGATGTCACAGAAGGCGGGCAGTGAGCTGTACAGTAGCACACAGTGCTTCACCAGAGCCACACACACTGCCAAGCAGGATAGTCTGCAAGAGGGTGACACCCAGGGTAAGGGCTGGGAGCAGGAAGGAGACCAGCTCCTTCAGTCACTGCTGGAGCCAATCATCTTGGCTAACATGCAGTGCTGAGAAACCCAACACCGTGTTTCAGGAAGCTAAGCATCTGCCCACGTGCAGTGCCCACAATGGCCAAAGGCTCATAGTATCAGGCGTGCAAAGTGCCCCGTGTATCCTGGGTAGAGAGGGCCGCTGTGCAAAACACAGCAACAACCTGAAAACAGTGGCTCCAACTTAAGTTTTTAAATTACTATTTACAAAATCAAGCAGACATATCTTGAAAAATAATGCACACATCCTGGGAAAGTTTTTTTTTTTTTTTTTCAGACATTCCCACAGAAGACACAAAGATGGCCAGCAGCACTGGTTTCTAGAGAAACACAAATTAAAACCGTGTCAAGTTAACACTTCATACCCCTCAGAAATTCTGTTAAAAAAACAAGAAATAAATGCTGATGAGGACATGGAAGATGCAGGACCCCTGTGCACCGCTGGCAGCATCTAAGGTAATATAGTGCACAGAAAACACTGTAGAGTCTTCAAAAAAATTAAACACAGAACTACCATCTGATCCAGCAATTCTGCTTCTGAGTATATACCCTAAGGATGAAAAGAAGGGCCTTGAAGAGATGCCTGCACCCCCATGTTCACAGCAGCTAAGACACAGGAGCACCCATGTGTCCGTGGACGGATGGACAGACAAAATGTAGTCTATCCACATGATGGAACGTTATTCAGCCATAAACAGGAAGGATGCTCTGACACCTGCTAGCATGGGGTGAACCTGGAAGACGCTGTGTTACGAAGTGAAATATGCCAGCCACGAAAGGACGGAGACTGTGTGACCCCACTTCTAGGAGGCCCCAGAGAAGACAGATCCTCCAGACTGAAGGTATGTGGGGGACCAGGGGCTGGGAAGTGAGCATGTGTCAGGTATACAATCTGTCTTACAAGTGAGGACTTCTGGGGATGAACGGTGGTGTTGGCTGTGCCAGAGTGTAAATGTACTGAAAACCACTAACTGGTCTCTTAAGAATGATTAAGATGGTAAAGTTTCTGTTGTGTCTTTTGCTACAACCAGAGAATATTTCAAATCATCCATAATTCAAAAAAATCAGAGAACAAAGGAACTTTTGACAAACAGCCCCAGCCCTCCTGTGGACTGAATGTGTATCCCCCCAAATTCACGTGCTAAAACCGAATCCCTAGCAGGACAGTGTCTGGAGGGGAGTACTCCAATCCTTGAACAAGGCTGTGCTTCCTCGCACTTAGGTCCCTCACAGCCTCCAGAGAGATCTTGTAATCTCAATGAACTTTCCCTCCTTGGTTAATTCCCATGCTTTAATCTTTTTGATGCTGTTATATATAAAATTTTAAAATTTCCTTTAAAACTGTTCACCGTGTATAAAAATGCAAGTTTTTGCTGACTTTGTACTTGGTTACTTCACTGTAGTAATTTATTATATCTAATAGCTTTTTGTAGTCTTGAGGATCTCCCACATATAACATCTACCATCTGCAACAGTGACTCTGGTGTGTCCAGCTCCAGGCTGGCTGGATACTGAGCCCGCTCCCCTAGGTGCTGCAGGCCCTATACATACCTGGTGTGGTTGGCCTCTGTCTTAGTCTGGGCCTTCAGTCCACTTGCCCAGCGGAGGGACAGGCCTGTCCTCTGCCATGTGGCCGTGTCCTCTTCATCAGAAACCAAGAGCAGTTCTGAGTTCTTCCCAGATGCTCTGAAAGGGTGCACCAGAGTATAACCTGAAGTCCAAGCGAGACAAAGGCAGAGGTGGCCTCTGAGCATTATGGGCTCACAGGGCAGGCTCTGCATGGTGAGGCAGTTAGAAGGCTCACTGCTGACACACACATCCTGTTTTTACTACACAGAAGCGGGGTTCCAGCTTCCATAGGGGTGATTGAGGGCACAGGGTCAGGTGCCTGACCTCGTGAGGGAGACAGGCAGTAGCCAACATCCGTGAGACAAAAGGGAACAAGACGGAGGTGGCACAGTTAACCCGGTCAGAGATGGCCTATCCCAGAAGACGGTGGATGCCAGCAGAGAGGACTTAACCCCGTCACCACCCAGAAGAGCAACGGAGGCAGCAGGCAGGGCTGGCCAGGCACAGTCTGCTCCGGGCACAGCAAAGCCAGTGGTGGCAGGGTGGAGGGAGAGGGACACAGGGCCAACACCCGGCGAGCCCACTGCCTGCCACTTGCAGCCTCCAGGGCTTTCTGCTGCAGCACTTGGCCTTGAGCTACAACCATCTCTGACAGGTCCTCAGGGTATGACCGCACCTCTCCAAACCTACTCCCTGCTGCCCTGGCCCTAGCACACAGCCGCATTGGCATAGGGGTCAGTGAGTTGGGGCGCAGCAGCTGCGTGCAGGAGGGTCTGCTATGAGGTCTCAAGAGAAGTAGGACAGTGTGCTTAGGGTCCTGAATGGAAGAGCTGCCAGGGCTGAAGTCCCCGCCCCTGCCCAGATCCACACGATGTACGATTAGGGCAGGTAAAGTGATCCTATGGACACAAAACAGCAAGGGGGCGGAGACCAAGCGATGCCCAGACAACCCGAGAGGGAAGAAGTGAGTGTGTCTGCACTGTGAGCGCTGCTAGAGGGAGGCAGGGGACCTAAGACCTGCGGGACAGTCTAGGAGGTCGACAGATGCTGGAACAACTCTTCATTACAATGTTGCTTCTGACAGTCACTCCTTCCAAAATTCCTAGCGCTCTAGAAACTACACAGACAGGACCGTACACTAGAAACACAATGCGGCCACTCTAAGTGCAAATGTTCTTATATGAGAGAGTAATAAAAGATAGGTCTTAATGATGTATTCATTTAACCCCAGATGTAAAACTGTTATTTCAACATATTATCACTTCAATCTAAACAAACTGAGAAGTTTTACATGTTTCTGACAGTAAGCAGTGGCCATCTGGGGGACAAGGCACCAATGGTGCTGGTCGCGTGGTGGATGGACAGGCAGGACCCGGCTCTCTCCTGGGCGGCATCCACACAGCTGCAGAGGACAGGAAGGCTGCTACTCTGGCCGGTGGGGCTTCAGATATCTTGTCTAACTTCCCCATGTTCACACTCTCCACACAAGTACCAACAACTTGTAAACACGCAGGGAGAATATATGCTTGGAGAAGCTCTGTTGAACCACTCACCTTGGCCATGCTTGTTTGGAGTTGCAATGTAAAGGATCCCAAGGAGGAAATTCACGAGCTCAGGTATGAACCTCCGAGACAGAGACACATAGTCCAGGAACATGCAGCACACGAACAGGCCCTTCACCACGTCGTGCAGAGACAGGACGGGACACTGGCATTGGGAGCACGGGCTGCGGTCAGCAGTCAGGAACAACATCCTCAAAGGCCGCAGGCTTCCTGACTGAGCTGTGGCCCCATACGGCAGTGTGGTCCAGTGGGCATAAACCAGGTCAAGGGCCTGGGTTGGCCCTAGCATCCTGCCTTTCTGAGGAGACCCACTGCATTGCAAGTGCCACCGAGCGTGCGCCAGTCAGATGCCAGACTTTTGAAGCAGATGGCAACAGAGACCCACATCAGACTTACTTGCTGTCACCACTGACCTGAAAGGCTCTTTTTGGTATCAACCCCTCCCCAACCTTATCTGGGGCCATTTCTGGGTTATCTTCCCAGACCCACTTCGATGAGGCCTTCCCGTGCTTGGCCCCGGATAGTGACACCCCCCAGGCTCGCTCACCTGCGCCAGCCACACACACAGGGAAGGACATACCTTGGTGAGCAGCTGGCTCATGCACACCAGCGCAGGCGTCGTGACGGGGTGCCAGAAGTCAGAGGTTGGAAATAACATCCCAGCAATTTTCAAATAAATGAGCTAGAAAGGGAACGTCACCACACAGATTAGAGAAATGAAATTTAAAATCTGGCCTAGGGCAGCCCTGGTGGCTCAAAGTTTTAGAGCCGTCTTCAGCTCAGGGCGTGATCCTGGAGACCTGGGATCAAGTCCCACATCGGGCTCCCTGCATGGAGCCTGCTTCTTCCTCTGCCTGTGTCTCTGCCTCTGTGTGTGTCTGTGTGTCATGAATAAATAAAATCTTAAAAAACAAAACAAAACAAAACAAACAAACAAACAGGGCAGCTCTGGTTTAGCGCTGCCTGCAGCCCAGGGCGTGATCCTGGAGACCCTGGATCGAGTCCCACATCGGGCTCTCTGCATGGAGCCTGTGTCTCCCTCTGCCTGTGTCTCTGCCTCTCTCTCTCTCTCTCTCTCTCTCTCTCTCTGTGTCTCTATGAATGAATAAATAAAATCTTAAAAAAAAAAAGGCCTAACGAAGGGCCCAGGAGAAAACCCGCTGTAGGCCTTATGGGGAAAGGCTGTAGACTTGAACACACACCACCTCCATGGCGGCCTGGTGGCCCAAGCGCTTCCCTGGCCACCTGCCTGCACACGCCGGGCACGGCTAAGCTCTCTCCACCACACCGCACCCTCACCAGACTTCATCCGAGCACCCGCTAAGCCCTGAGGAGCCCCCCAACAACCTGACAGGAAGAGGCAGAGGACACAGCAAGACCCACTCGCCAAAACAAATTCCTCTGATACATAAGAACATCCTTGGCTTGGCTCACGATGAGAAAAATGCAGGCTTATAAGGCTACGTCACAGACCACTACTTTTTTTCTCAAATGAGTAAAGAGAAGCTGGGTACTTGGGTGAGGCTGTGGCAAGGCTGTGGCATGGGGAGGGGCAGGAGAAGCCGTGCGGACAAGCGTCAGAAACAGGAAGAACATGCTCCCTCCATGGACGCACTGAGTCCGCAGTGTGAGCGACAGCTCCGGCCTGCACCCCTGGGACTGAACTGCAAATGTGGCTGCAGGCAGCGGACGGTTACCCCGGAGACGATGGGCTTGGAAGCCAACAACCACTGGCCCTTACTTTTCAGGGATGACCCAGGCCAGGTGCACTCACAGGCCGCCCATCCAGAAGGCACCACAGGGGCTGGTTCTCAGAGCAGAAAAGTGGCCCTGCACCCCGGCTCTGTAGGATCTGCAGGGCCCTCCATCTTGTCTGAAGGCACAGAAATCCCCCCTGAACTCCCGAAACTGGACCACTTTGAAAATGTCATGTGGGAGACCCCATGTCCTCCTTCCTGCTCCTGGCAGGGGGTCCAGCACCAACCTGCTGTGAGGGCCTTCCACAGAGCCCTCCATGCCACCCTATCTGTGATCCCAGAGAACACGAGGCCTGTGGAGGCAGAGGAGAGGATGGCCCGCCTGGTTCCCAGCTTGCTCCTCCTCACTTTGCCTGTCACGGACCGCATGTGTCCACTAAAAGGGCAGTGTTGACAGTGATGGTCCCCACATACTGGCTGCTGAGTCCCAGCTGTGAGACAGCCGTGTGACATGTTAACTCCTGAATCCTCATGGCAGGTCTCCAGGGCAAGAGGCGACCACTGCCTCTGATGATAGATAAGGCAAGAGGCCAGGACCACATGGGTCCTCGGGGGGCTGGGACGGGCCCTGCTGCACGGTCTTGCACCAGCACACCATGGGAAAACAGGCCACCACAGCGGTTAAATAGGGGAGTGTCTGCTGAAGGCTGAGGCTTACAAGGAAAGTCACCAGCCACAGCTGAAGGACACTGGTCCGATCCTGCTTTGAGGAGGCCATGAAAACCAGGAATGCAAACCCGGTATTTTTAAGTTTCTGTTAATCACTCCTTCTTATTTCCGCAGAAACCCTAGAACACTGGACAGACTGAGCAAGTACTTCACGGTCACCAACATGGGCGAAGTGGCTGTGGCTGCCACAAGCTGCCAGAGCCCTCCGGGGCACTCAGGTGCCTCAGCGAGTCCGTGGCAGAGCCATTGTGTGGGCTTGGTCCTCACCAACACACTCATTCTATTTGCCCTAAAGCCTCTTCGCCACTAGGGCCACCCACCACAGCTCCACTCATGTGGAATCAGCCCAGAGCTCCCTCTTTTATGAAACATTTCAGTTACTTGTTGGCAGGTAAACAATTCTTTCCGCCTTGTACCCATCTGTTCTCCAGCTCAATCTGGAGGCTCTATGGTCTGGTGAACCCACCAAATTGCGTGCTCCCTGTACTCAGCCAGCCCTTCTGGGCAGCTGACAGCACTGGCCCCTGGAACCTGAGACCAAGTCCCTGCTCACCACGTCCAGGCCCGGAAACGCCACCCGGCCTCTGGCCTCAACAGACCCTTCCATCTCGTGCATGGCATCTCGTAGGACAAATTTTATGGAGTTGCTGGCAGAGTCAGGAAACATCTGGCAAAGATTATATAATTGCCTGTTGATCAGAAACACAGGTCAGGGGAAATGACTTCAGATAAGGCAATTAGAAAAAAAGCCCCCCAACCTCCCATTCACCATTTTCCCGTGAAATTGCCTGCTGAGTGGGCAAGATACCTTGGAACCCCTGGATGACTCCACTTCTCCTCTTATGGATCTGGCTGGCCTTCTCGGCAATCGGATAATCTTTCTAATAGTGTTTGTTTTATATCAATCCTAAGAAGCTATAACTTTTCAGCAGTGATAGTAGAAGCCTAATGCCGCAAGGAGCACATTCTACATGCCAGAGTCAGCAGACGGTTCCAACGTGCCATCCACAGGAACTCACTGGTCCTTCACAAGCACTGCTGTGCTGGCAGAAGGTGGCATGGGAATGAGGGGTGTGCAGTATGTGGCCGGCCACAGGGAGGCCCCTATGAGTCCTGGTGCTCACTAACCCTCCCTTCACCACACCACCTCCAGCTGACCTGGGGCTGGGAGCCATGCTCCAGTCTCTGCTTTTACAGGGGTTCTGGTGTAGCGAGAGCTTAGCCGTCCCCAGGCAGGGTGGGAACAGGAAGACAGGAGGCACTGCCCTCCCTGACGCTCGCAGCATGAGATGTCAGGTTCCACTGAGGCATGGACCTGGAGTGGGCAGGTCTCTGGGCAATAACAGAACACCGTGTACCCCAAACACCTGTCAGCCTATCCGAGTATAGCTTGAGATTTCATTGTTGAATGAACCAGAAAACAGGCTTCCAAACAGCATGGACAAGTCTGACATGTTCAACTGTCATAAAGTCAATGCATTTGCAGTTAACAGCAGGTCTGTCTCTGGGGTGGCGGAGGGGGGCCATTACCGCTGAAATCACTGTGGCTCGTGTTATGCCGTGGTGACCGTTTACAAGGTCAACTGTGCTAACCCTGAGACATAGTTTTATGACTGCCAATAGAAGAGTCACTCAACGCAGCCCCATATTCCAGTCAACCACCATCGTTACTTACACGACCAACTTATCAATTACTCCGAGGTCTGGGGTATCACTTGTAGCCAAATCTCCAACATACTCCAAAAGGAAGCCAAACAGTTTCTGCAGGAACATGGATTGGGAACAGAGTTCAGTGCTGACCCCCAGCATAAAATCTCAGGAACACAAGGTGCTGTCTCCCTGTTCTGGCTAAAACAAGTGCGCACGCGCCTCAGGGCCACTGCTAGGAACACGCCGACTGCAGGCCAAGGAGGGCTTGGGTACATACTTCTGCAGATGGGCAGACAGCACACAGGTCTTCACATGACCAAGGATGTGGCCAGCACTGCGCCTCATTCATAGGCGGGCAGCACTTGCTGAGGAGAAAAGGTGCTCCAAGTCATTCATCTCCTTGAAAGTCTGGCTCTGCCATGCATGGGCCAGAGGAGCCACAGGCCCCCCTGCCTCGGTGTCCCTCCTCTGCTAGCTGAGGGTGACAGCATCTCCTCCTGGGCCTGGGTCACTGCGCGCACCTGGTGACTGGCAGCGTCCGGACACAGACCGCTGCCACCACCACCACCCCCCAACATGCAATGCAACATGTATGTACTTCCAATTTTGCTTTGTTTCCTGCTGCAAGACTTGGATGGTTGCATGTTTTAATTCTCTCCACCACTAATAGCTGCTCTTCCATCGTTTTTCCTGATAATAAAGATTTCAGCTCCTCGTAGGATTCAGGGGCTGTCAGAAATGCAAAACACACTCCACAGTTAACATTCAAAAGGAGAATCACATTTCTGAGAACACAGAGATTAAAAACGAAACAATGGGGTGACAGTAATTCCCCAAGAGACAATTTCACGTGTATTCTACAAACATGTTTCACCTCCCACCATGACCACTGCTGGTAGAGATAATGTATGCTCTGGCATGTCCGGGGGTGAGGTGCAGTGGGACGACTATTTACCAGTGACCACGTAGCACCCGAGGAAGGACTTTACCGCCAGCATGTGGAGAGCAAGGCAGCAGGGTGCTGGTTTCAGTGTTCATGCTGGCTCAGAATGAGTTTGAAGGAACCACCCCAGACCCCCACTGCCTGCAGGCCATGTCCAGGGAAGCCAGCCTCTCTTGCTAGTTCATCCTCTGGAAGTGACCGTAAGTCACAGGACAATTTAGGACTGCTTGCTATAACTGGATGATTTTTCTACACACACCAGACAACACAACACACAATGTTCACTGTAAAGTGCCATGTGGCCAAATGAGAGCCCAGGTCTGAACACGGGAAGCCTCACAGGTGACTCCCCAGTCTCCCAGGCCCTTCCCGGCTCTCTGTGGCAGCCACATGGGTTTCCACCACAAAAGGCTGGCCATGGAAAGAGCACAGTGCCCTTCAATGGAAAGGTGTGTGTTGTCCTTGTTCTGCTTTCAGCCCACAAACTGCCTGCAGTCACACAATAAAGGCCGGCTAACACTCTGGCCAGAATGCCAGACCATGCCAGTGACAAGCCCTGATGTCGTAGGTGGGCACATGTCCATGTGCCTGGAAGCACACCCTCAGTCTCCACTCTACTGAGGTGGCCCCAGAGAGGCAGACTTATTGCCAGGTCACGGAGATTATCCCAACGCATAAGCAGACCCAGTGTCTGTCTACCTGCAAATGTATAGGGCAGCTCGTTTCTGGCGGCTTCTCGAGCTTTGTGGCCATTGTTGGCCAACCTCTTCTGTGGGGCCAGCCGGGGCTCTGTGTCTGGCCGCCCACAGTCCTCCTCGGTCTCTGTGTCCGAGTCCAGGTCTGAGTGCCCATCTGGGTCACTGCTCTCCTCTAGGTTCTCGTCACTCGGGTCTTCGTGGTGATCTTCCTCACTCTCACCGTCACTGGCTTCCCTGCTCTGCTCTTCCTCCACGCTCATCTTTCCATCCTGGAGAATGGGGGAACCACAGGCCTCACTACCCAGGGGAGCACCCTGAACGACATGGAAATGCTGCACACACCTGGGGCAAAGCTGTGAGTGTGGCATTCACCCACTGACACCAGCTCCGCGCCCGCCTTGGCCAATAGGCCGGGGCACAGCTTCCTGATCTTGGGCGCCGGGACTCCAGGGCTCTAGGCAAAGCTTAGCATCTGCATGGAGCAGTGGGACCCAAGCTGTGGCAGGCGCCCTGGTGGCCACAGGCACCAGCAGCTGTTGTCTGTAGCCTCCCACCACTGGCTCAGGGGCTGGAGAGCAGCAAGTCAGTGGGGGCTTCCCAGTGTCTGGGCCACATCCAGAGGTAGGTCACCCCTGACTATGCTCTCCCAAATAACCTGGCATTCTGTGAGCACCTGGTTCTTCCCTCAGATCCTCTTCTGCTCAGCGTGCCTGGCCTCCTTCTCTTTCCCCACCTTGAAACAGGGCTGATTCATGCTAAAGAGAGGAGGGTGAAGTCCTCACAGCAAGTTTTAGAAACTCAATTATTTTACTTGCTCCCTCAAAGGCCCTGCCAAGCCTGCAGATAACCACACACTTATGAGCAAAGAGGCTGATGGGAGCGCACAAGTACATAGCACAAGGCTGGGGTGCCCTCCTCTAGGTAGCCTGCCTGGCCAGTCCACAGCCACGGTATTGGACCCACCTCGCACTCCCGGATGCAGAGTACATTCCATTCATGATGAACCTCTTCCATACCAGAAACCTTGCTTTTGGTTTCACAGAGCAAGCCATCGAGTGAAGGAAAAACCTCTTACCGTGTAAGAAAGCAAACGCCTGTCGTCTTTGTCCAGAACGAAGTTGTCATTTAGGTCGTCCGCGGACAGGTGCTTCGGTTTTCTACTATCACTGCCCATGTCTTCACCGCGCATCCTTCGAAGCCTCGCAGCCTGTATAGGAATGAAGCACAGCCACCTGTGGTGCTTGTGCCACTGAGCGCCTGTGGAAGGAGGCATGCGCTCCTCCCCTCCCCCAGGCCACGCTCGTGAAGGGGCTCTGAACCCGCTTTCCGCCTTCAGCTTCAACCTGGCTGCAGGTACCAGGGGAAGCGCCACATGTGACACTCCCCACCCCAGAAACAAATGGAAACAAGTATTGCGGCACAAGTGTGTTCTAGCCACCAGGAAGGTAAGCCGGCTGTTCTAAGGTCTTTCTGGCTCAACCATGCAGACTTCATTCCCCACGATGCAGCCATGGAAGAGGGTAGCCACCACAGCAAGGTCTGCATGGCCAAGCCAGGCACTCAAGCATGCTGCCGTGTGTGGACAGGCCATGGGCCCGGAGAAATGGCCAGGTACAGAGCAGTGTGTCAGTGTTTGTCTTTGTTTCAATGTAATGAAACTTTAAAACCCTTTCTTAAGGCACAGGAGAAATGTTGAGAAGGCGGTGCCTTGTATCGTTAGCAGTTGTTTTAAGGTACAGGGATTAGAGCAAACGTTTTTTTATTTGGTATTTTTGGGTATCATCTGCATTTTTCTTGCTTTTATAATAAAAAACGGGCACTTATAGTAAAATAAATATAAACTTTAAATAGAATAAGAAGATCCCTTTGATACAGTAACACATCTCAACCCATCTCAAAGATGGAGAAGGCAGGCCTCAAACACAGATCCCATGGCACCCCGCATCACCACCACGGCCATGGCCACACCCATACCTCCAGCTTCTGGAGCCGCTCCTGCTCCTCCTTTGCCAGTTCTTCTTCCGTCTTCATCCTGTTAGAGGGTGGGGCCTTCATCTCAAAGCCCAGCTCGCGAACCATCATGTCATACGCATCAGGCTGGGCAGAAAGAAGAAACTTTTCATTTTTAGTCTTTTTAAAAAACGATCTGTGCAGGCAGCTTCCTGCATGTCTGGTAACATCTGGATACCATGAAGGAGGAAGCCAAATCGTACCCAAGTCTGTCCTGAAAGAAAGCCATTCTGATCTGCAGGACACTTAAGGTCACACAGGATTTTTCTGAGAAATTCTTCTCAAAACATACCTGCTTTATCAAAACTAAACATTGCTCATTAGGCATTAAGCCCACAAAACAAGCTGAGGTGAAGGAGACAGCAACAGTGATAGCAACCCCCAAAGGTGAACACCTCACCCCATAACACGGCCACCTGGTAAAATCCTAGGAGCTAGACATGCAGATGAATGCAGCTTTTCCAATAATTTAGACTAAAAAGAATGTGGTAGGAATCAAGTACTGTTTGGAAAGAAAAATAACTGTATATATGGATGTACAGATGCGTAACAGGAAAATTCAGACACCACCTGAGGAAGCCCCCCCGCCCCCCAATCTAAGGACTTCTCAACCACAAACAACCATTTTCTTTAATTATCCAGGAGTAGAAACTGAAGTCCATTTTTGTGTAGCTCTATGTGGACATTACAAATATCAAGACAGCTACATGAAAGTTCCCCGTGACACACAGGAGCTGAGAGACAAGGACAGTGGCTGTACAGGTCCGGAGAGATGTTGGCCCCCACCTTTTCCCCAGAGGAAGGTCAAGTCAACTTAATACCCACCTTGGGCTTCTCCTTTTGGTCCCTATTCTCAGACTTGGGTGTCTTATGAGCCAGCAGGGTCTGGATTTCTTTCCAGTCTTGATCCAGCTTCTCTGTGAGCTCCAGGGCGCCTTCCCGCTGTGCCTGTCTCTCCCTCTGGGGAAAGAGAACAGACATGGCACATGCTACTAGTGCTGAGCTGCAATCGAGCAGCCCCACTCATGTCCAGGCCATGCTCAACAGAGTCAACACTTAATGTATTGGCACAAGAGATACCATGAAAAATCAGTATCTTAAAAAAAAAAAGGAAGCTACAGAATCTCATCACACAGAACTAATTTCCTGCTATAAACCATGCATCTAGAAGCTCCTAGCAGTTTACTGGTAGTAAAAGACCATAAAACACGTCAAAATACAAAAATCAACCAGCTAAAAACACCTCAAGTCCCCCCACCCCCAAACACAACAGACCATAAGAAGTACACGTGATGAAATTTAAAATACTACTATTCAAAATGAATGCTTCTTTTAAATTTACAGAAAATGTTAAATACAGCCTAAAATTGTACAAGGAAAAAAAAGGCCAAAAGTTGTTTTGATGAGCGTCTCTGGTGATGGAGGCCCCCACTGGGAGCGCTAACGCACCTTCTCCTGTTTTGACTTTGCAATGAGCTCTTCAATCAGTTCTTTGCGTGACCTTGGTTTGTCCTCATCCTCACCTTGCTGCTGCAGGGTCTTCTTATGAAGGAGCCCGCCACCACCTCCAAAATGGGCGGCGGTCAGCTCAGCTGGAGACAAAGAGCAGAAAACACATCTGTGAAGCCAGATGCTGGCTCAGTAACCCATTCCTGCAGCACTCACCAACCGTTATTGGAGTACAATCTCAAGAACCAATTCCATATTCAAGAAAAAACTCTGACACACAGTAGCTGTAGGAGACCACAGGAGCAGTAGCACTTGAGAAACACCCAGCTGTATGGGAATGGTAACTGATACTAAATTTAATCTGCTTTGTTACCATCTATAAGGAAGAAACTCAATATTATTCCCGCCCCCCAACTAACACGATTGGTTCCACAGTTATAAAGACTAAAGAACCATGTAAACATTGTTAGTACAAACATTCTGCCCAAACTTATCACATGGTGCAGGAGAATGCACAAGAGTCTATGGTTCGGACTCAGGGGTCAGACAAATCGCTGTTTCTCTGAGCTCCTGGGTAAAGTAAGCTGAAGGGGCAGTTCAAATAAGATAACGGATATGTGAGAATGTTCTCAGCCTGCAGAAGCTGCTGCCTATCCACATACACACTTTCTGAATATTCTCAAGCGAAAAAATACCCAAAGAACCCTGTGTGTGTGTGCAATGACTTGAGAGGTTAATGTTCGGTGACACTGGTATCCCACGTTTTCCTGGGTCTCCAGGAAGGACAGGAAGAAAGTAACCTGGAGCAGACCGTCCCCTTGCCCCCAGCCCTCACCAGATAGCGTTCCTCGTTCCTCAGCGTCACTGTCACTGTCAACAATGTCATTATGCTTTTCAATGTCTGCCAAAGACTGGCCGTAATGAGTTAATTCTTCATCCTCATTGAGGTTGTAGATGCTTTTTTTTTCATGTTGTCGCTGACAGAAGAGGGAGAAAAATCAGTTTCCTAAAATTTCCACGTTCATTTAATGGCAAAGCCCATTTATTTTCCCACTATTTATATAATGTGACAACCGAGCCCAAAGCACATAAGATGATTCTGGGTCATCTGAGCAATGATTCAGATATAAACAGAACCCACAGAAGGTAAATGAATCAACGGGCCAGCCAAAGCCACTGGGAAATCATGCCAGTGTTCCACAATCTACTTGCTTTCCACCCGACTGAGCCGTGGGTTGCACATTGGTCAACGACTCCCAGGACACATCATTGTATGTGTTCCAGTTAACATACCTTTCCACCCCGCTGGTGGCTAGACAAGGTAGAGCACTGGCCCACTGGACCTTGGGGGGAGCGCCCACCCAAGTATAGGTGAGCAATGGGGCAACCACCTTCTTGTACCTGACTTCTGTGTATAACCACAGCCTAAGGCCCTCCTCTCCTTGTCTAGCATACCTGCTGTTCCAAGGCAAACCTCTTCATCATCTTCTCCTCTGGACTCATGCTGCTACTGTATTCCCCAAAGCGCTTATCAGTGAATACATTAGACTTATCCCTTTCCTTGTATTCCTTCAGTAATGTCTGGGTACGCTGGAAAACAGATCACAGAGACATCTCAGGCTGGTCCTGGCAACTCTGAGCTCTGATGGCTTGGTGATCTCGGTCCCTCAAGAAGAAATGCTTTCACAAGGGGACACACAAGGGCTCCACTGAATTGTAGGATGCCATGGCCACCTGGCCATTCTGTATGCCCTACAGACCACTGAAACCAACAGTCAAAAAAAGGGCTCATCTACTGGCTGGAAAAACAGATCTCAGTTACAGAGGAAGTGGGGTTGTTACCATACAATGAAGGCAGAGAGGACTGTGTCTGGGGCTTGGGGGGCTCTCTGGAGCGTGCCTCAGGACTTCTGTGTCCAGCACTATAGGTTAGAGAATATCAGCGCAGGATGCCTGGGTGGTTCCATCAGGGAAGCATGTGCCTTGGGCTCAGGTCATGATCCCGGGGTCCAGGGATGGAGTCTTGCATTGGGATCCCTGCTCCAGCAGGGAGTCCACTTCTCCCTCTCCGTCCTCCCCTCCCCCTGCTCACCCTCTCTGTCAAATAAATAAATAAAATCTTAAACAACAACAAAAAAAGAAAATCAAAAGCAATCAGAGCAAAGCCCAACAAAGGAGCACTAAGAAGTGGCTCAGTCATGTAGACACCAGAAGCGCTGTGGTTCTAGCTGAGAGTCAGGGAAACATGAACAAGGAGTTACCACAGAAGCCGAGCACATCAACAACAACGTGATGACCAATTAGAGACATGGACTGTAGCAGAATTGCTTATTTTGTCTGTCACATGATGCCTTTATCTGTACAGTCGATCCTTGCTCCTCCTGGAGTCCAGATCTGCACATTTGTCTACTTGCTAAAGGTTATGTGACCCCAAACCACTGCCCAGGGCACCTTCGTGGTCATTCATATGTGTGGGGCCTAGGAGGTACAGTCAAGAATGTGATGGCTCGGACTCTGGGGGGCACCTGTAAGAAATAGCAATATTACCTCCTGTTGGCTGCTGCTACGGGATCACAAGAGTTTACACAAGGTGGCTCAGGACAAAGCTGGGGACAGGTAGTGTTTGTTGTGTGTTACACACTCAAGTCTGGATTTGGGTCTCAGCTCCCCTACTCCTGACCTAAAGAAAGTTCTGGAATGATTCCTTGTTTTGGTTCCTCATGCATAAATGGGGATAATGCCAGTACTTCCCTCATAAAGGCTGGCTGTGGGGATTCAACAGACGTTTCTTGATAAAACATCTATTCCACTGGAAGGATCCCAGATACATTAACTCTACTTATCTCACCACTTCTGTGAGAAACAAGAAGAGGGAGGCCCAGCCAGCACAGGATGGCACTGGGATCACACCTGTAGTATCACCACGCAGGCAGGTGCTGCCCAAAGTGCTGCCACGGATCGGAGGAGACACATGGGACAGCACATTTACTTCTGAGGGCCCGTCACCAGCGAGAAGACCAGGACCATCTTGCCACCCCATTTGCCCTGACACACACTACATGCTTTAACTGCCCTGCACGACCTGAGTTCCTTCTGGACAGCTCTGAGCTCTCCCACTCCAGGCAGTGCGCTCCATAACAGGGGACAAGGTACCTTTGTTCCCACCAGTAACATTCTACTCACCCTTCCGAGCTCAAGTGTGACTCCCTCTATGATAAAGTTCTTGGTTTTCCTGTTATGTGTATTTCCTATTATATATATCACGTGTGCTTTCTTACTACATATATGTATACATGTAGATACATATACGTGTGTATATATATATATATATATATACACACACACACACACACACACACACACACACTATATATATATCCTGACTGTGAGCCCCCAAAGCACTGGGGACAAGAGGAGGCATCAACACAGGCCTCCAGGCCATTCACCGCAGGCCTTCAGCACAGAGCAGGAGGTATTACAGGTGTGAGCAACTGGCCCTATTTGGGCTGTAGGGCTTGGGAAAGTATCAGAAGTGGTGACTTGTGCTGGCCGCCAAAGCATGTGCTGGGAGAAGACAGGACCTTTTGGACAAGCTGTGTTGCAAGAGGCAAAGCAAGGACAACAGGTTGCGGCCAGATTGTGGAGTCTGAGAATGACAAGCTGAAAAGTTTAATAGCTAGTGTTTAGACAACTTACTATGTGCTAAATATGCCATTTTATTTAATCTTAAATGACCATTAGGGAAAGGAAGGATATTATTATCCTTGCTCTGGATATGAGAAAACACTTAGCTAGTGGAAACAAACATGGTTGCTCTAGAGCCCAGGCCACCCGGTCCCCACACCTGCCTTGGGGTATGCTGTACGGGCCTCATCACCGGCTGCTGAGTCTGCCTTGTCAGTTCAAAGATGGCCTGCTTGTTGCAAGGCCCTGGAAGGCAGGGGTCAAGTCTTCCCTTACCTTTATCTCCCAGCAGCTGGAGGGAGCTTACACCTGAAGTTCTCTGGGCGCTTCAGGCTTCTCCTTCAAATCGAATGCAAACCCAGCCCTTAGCTGCGTCCTTGGGAAACGTAGGTCCTTTCTGTGCCCTAACTTTTCCACCTACCTTAAATTTTTCAATAGGGTACTGTGTCTTCCTTATAATAACAACAAACATCGTTAAACCTAAAAACCTGCCTCAGAGGCTGCACATGGAATGCGGAATGCCATCTATACGGAGCCTGAAAGGCACAGAATACTTTGGGGCTGGGAACACAGAGGTGGCATTTCAGTCTTCCTGCGAGGGACAGGGTGCTGTGCTTGGAAAGAGAGATGCACTTGTTCTCCTAGCATCTGTGGCATATCCACCTTGCAAAGAAAAAGATGCACCACCCCTAGACCAGAGGCTCCAAGTCCCCTAGAGAACAGGCCATAAACTGCGCGCACAGATGCCAGAAGCAACGAGGGACCGGCGCACAGGGCTGCAGGGCGTCCCCTGGGCGCCAGGTTCCCGGGGCGGCTCCCCCCAGCACACAGGATCGGGGTGACTCACGCTCAGCTCGCGGGAGTCACGACCCACAGGGGTCCGGCCCCGTCCTCACCACCGGCCCCGTCCTGACCGGCGAGCACTCTCCAGACCGCCCGTCCCCCTCGCCGCCCCAGACCCCGGCAGTCCTTACCTTCTGGACGGCCCGCGCTCGCGACACCCCGGGCTGCCCCACGGCGTGGCGCGCCTTCCTGCCCAGGACCGGGAACTTCTGCCGGTTCACCTTCACTTCGAACGGGTTGGGGTTGGGCCTCGCGCGGCCGCTCTGAGCCCCCGCGGGGGCCCCGGAGCCCTTCCGGCGAAACGCGGCCAGCCTAGCCTTCCCCATGGCGAACCCCCCAGGCCGCGACGCCGGGTCCCTCCGCAAACGCGTGCGGGAACCCGGAAGCTGCTCCGCCCTCGTCCCGCGAGAACCTGCGGGCGAGAAGTATATGCGACTTGCCAGGAGCCTGAGCGCCTACGGTCGGGTGACTACAACTCCCAGCAGGCCACGCGCGCCTGACGCGCCGTCGTCTCCTCCCGCCGCACGGCCTTCTGGGAGCGGTAGTGCCCTGCGCGGCGCGGCGCCGCACTCCCCTCAGGGCGCGGCGGCGGGGGGAGCGCTCGGGCGCCCTCTGCTGGGAAGCCGTTGGAGGGAGCCGGCCGCTGTGCTAGTAGGAGGCGGCGGCGGCGGCGGCGGCGGCGGCGGCGGCAGTAGCCGTCGCCGCCGGGGCGGGGGGCAGCCTCGGTCTGTGAGCCCCTCCGGGGGGCGGGGCTCGGCAGACACTCCGGGCGGCCCGGGAGCCGGGCCCTGAGGAGAGAGTTGCCCGCGCCAGGCGCGAGCGATGGGGCCGAGAGCCCGGGCCCCGGCGAGGCGGCGGTGAGCGCGGAGTTCCCCGGCGGCAGCGCCGCCAGCTCCCCTGGCCCCAACCGCACCCCCCGCCGGAGGCCCGGGACGCGAGGACGACGAGGGCTCCCCCGGCCGGCGCCGGCGGCGACAGCGGCAGAGAGAGCGGCGGCGCCGCAGGCGGGCCCGGAGGCGGCGCGGCAGCTGGTGGCTGTGGCGGTGGCCGTGGCGGCGGCGGCGGCGGCGGCGGCGGCGGCGGCGGCGGCGGGAGCAGCAGCCACAGCTGGAGCGGCGGCGGCGGCGGCGGCGGCGGGGCAGCTCCCTCGGGCCCCTCGAGGGGTCGCCCGGCCGGGTGGCGTCCTGCGGGCCATGCGCCGAGGCGGCGGCGCCCCCTGCCCCGTCCCCGCCTCCTCGGGCCCGCGGACCCCGGCGGCGGCGGCGGCGGCGGCGGCGGCGGCGGCGGGCCGTGGAGCTGGAGAACCTCGTGGCCAACACGCTGCTGCTGAAAGCGCGCCAAGGTGGGTGCACGGCGGGCGCCCGGCCCCCGCCCACCCGCACCCTCCGAGGAGGCCCCGCCCCCGCCCGGAGCCGCGTCCGCTGCCCTGCACCCCTCTCGGCACCTCCAGGCCCGAGTTAGGCTGGTCGGCGCCCGCGCTCCTAGGTCTGAGCCTCCCCGCAGCGTCCGGTGGTGGTGGGGGGGGGGGCGGGGTGCGTACGCGCCCGCGCCCGGGAGCAGGGCCCTAACCCGAGGGCGAGCCCTGAGCGGGCGCCTGCCCTCACCTCAGTGTGTGTGGACTGGTAGCGCAGCGCGGCTTCTTGCGTTTGAGGTTTGACCTGAAGCTTTAGGGTGCGTAGAGTGGGTGTTACCACGACGTGCCGACGGATGAAACAAGGGGGTGCGAATTCACCCTGACGCGGGCGTAAACGCAGCAGCTGGCCCAGCCCTTCCGCGCAGATGGCGGACTGGTCGAGTCCTCTGTAGCCCAAGAGTTGGGAGAGCAGGCGACGGACGGAGCTGCCCGCCTCTGGTTCTTCAGCCCCTGGGCTCCTGCCGAGTCGGTGATGGAGCAGGAGCTGCAAGCGCGATAAATGTGGCCTGCAGGTGCACAATGGCCAGAACTCTGTGCTGAAGAGCATGTGCAAGGTGCGTTTTGTGCACCATGTCCCCAGGGCTGGGGTTCTGTCCTGGGCCCACATGGCCGTGGAGGGGTGCTCCTGGCGACTTGGGGTGCTGTTGGGAAGCATCAGTGAATTCCTCTCGTGATCGGAATAGTGAATAAGGCTCTGTGGGAGAAGGTCACCTGGAATACAGTTCTCTCAGGTCTTTGGGCTTTGTTTTCTTCTTAATCCACCCCCCTTACCATTTGTGTCCTAAGTGTCTTTCAGAAGGAAAGATTGGATGAGAAAGTGCCTGGTTCCTCAACTCCCTGGAGACCTTGAGTCAAACATGGAACAGGAATTCTCCACAAAACATTCTCTGACTGGTGCAGAGAATTAGATACCCAGGTTGGGGTTTAAATGGAAGGATCCAGATTTATTTTGTAAAATGTCTCTTATTTTAAGAATTGAGAATAGAGCCCTCATCTCAATATTTTTGTGTGCTAACCTGGGTTATCTTGAATAGAAGACCAAGGAAGGGCAGAAAGAGAACGGGGTCTTATTTTTCTGTTAAGGCAATGGGGTGAGCTCAGATCAGTGTGTTTCATTGGAGCATTTCATTGTGTCTGGTGTTTCTCACTTTGACTCCAGATTGGTCACAGAGGTGAGTTGTCATCCTCCGTGGAAAGCCCATCTGACCCATTGCTCAACTGGTCTTCTTTTCCACTGTACCATCATCTTTGGGTGTAATGTATGAAAACAGACTTGTGTCAAGCACACTTCCATACAGTGCTGTAGAGATGAGACAAAGAGGTAAATATAAGTGCTAGCTAAGTGCTAAATACATAAAACCAGGGGCGGCCACCTGGCTCAGTCACAAGAGCCTGTGACTCTTGGTCTCAGGGTTGTGAGTTCAAGTTCCACATGGGATATAGAGATTACTTAAAATCTAAAAAAAAAAAAAAAAAAATCATAGGGATCCCTGGGTGGCGCAGCGGTTTGGCGCCTGCCTTTGGCCCAGGGCGCGATTCTGGAGACCCCGGATCGAGTCCCACGTCGGGCTCCCGGTGCATGGAGCCTGCTTCTCCCTCTGCCTATGTATCTGCCTCTTTCTCTCTCTCTCTGTGTGTGTGACTATCATAAAATAAATAAAAATTAAAAAAAAATCATAAAACTAGTATTTTCTGCCAAAAAGCCTTTTGAAAGCCTGCTTTCAAAAGAGTTTTAATTTTTGTTCCCTAAAGTATTAACTCGGAGTAGTGTAATTGTTAGGAGTTCTGCCTCTTGCCAACAGAGAATGTTTATTCCTGTTTTCAAAGAGTCATGTCCTTGTGATGAATGCTTAGAGAAGCTGAATATGAAATATCAGAAAGATGAATATATGCTGAGTGTTGGTTATAACTTAGGGCTGTTCTCTCAAGTCGACAGTTTATTTGCTTTAGAAGCTCAAGTGGGATCCCCTAGGGAGTGTCTTCTTGAACGTGTCTGTTCATTCCTAGTTCCTTATTTAGTTTCTCTGGCTCGGGTATTAAAAAATTAACATTTGAAAGAAGCGTATGTAACACAGCAGTTATATGTTGGCCTTCACTGTTGGTTTAACATTATGAATGAATCCAGTCATTTTCTAGATTTATTTCAAATAAAATCAGTTTCTCTGTTGTTCTCAAACAGAAGGTGTTTAAATTCGTTCCTCCTTTTCAGGAATGTTGGCAGATAATTCCGCATTGAAAAAGTTGTCACTCTGCCAGGCACACTGTAAGAAAGTAGAAAATAATGGTCATACTGTTCATCAAACACAAAATCACTGCTTTTTTTTTTTTTTTTGACATTTAGGATTTTTTCCCCCTGTGTTATACATTTGTTAAGCATTTTGTGACCTTACATGGTCAATCAATCAACAACTTTCGTGTTCATTTGGACATGTTCTTGTATGCTTGCTATTCCAATCTTCTGTGTGGCAGGCCCTCCTTGCTTTCTTCTTGTTCATTTCTTTCCATCCTTCAGAATCCGGTTTACCTTCATCTTCTTTGTAGCTTGCTCTAATTCTTCCAGCTTGGTGGCACTCTCTGCCCTTGGGGAATTTGGAACTTGGGATTCAGAAGTGTAGTCAGCATAGTCAGTGATTCTTTCTCCAGCCAAATTGTAGTCTGTGTGGGCAGGGCATAGATTTACCTTTATTTTTTATTTCTTTCAGTGCTGGGTAGCCATTTAATTGGTACTTGGTAAACAATTGGAGATTAAGGGGGTGATTTGTTACTTTGCTAAATATAAGAAAGAGAAGATGAAATTCATATTGAAAACAAAAAGGATTGGCTCCATTTGGAGGAAATAAAGCACGTTCCAAGTGTGCCATAGAGCCTACTTGTTGATAAGGATAGCTAACATCAGTGCGGGTTTGTTCTGTCCAAGCAGCACACTAAATTCTTTACGAGTGTTATCCCAGCTAGTCCTATCCCTCCTTCTAACCTATAGCACCAGACTGATGATAATTCTGCTTCAGTGTTAAGAAGACTGTGTAGCAGCAAATATCATTCTCAATGGGGAAGCACTGGGAGCCTTTCCCCTAAGATCAGGAACAAGACAGGGATGTCCATTCTCACCACTGCTATTCAACATAGTACTAGAAGTCCTAGTCTCGGTAATCAGACAACAAAAAGGGATAAAAGGCATTCAAATTGGCAAAGAAGAAGTCAAACTGTCCCTCTTCGCCGATGACATGATACTCTACATAGAACACCCAAAAGACTCCACCCCAAGATTGCTAGAACTCATACAGCAATTTGGCAGCGTGGCAGGATACAAAATCAATGCCCAGAAGTCAGTGGCATTTCTATACACTAACAATGAGACTGAAGAACGAGGAATTAAGGAGTCAATCCCATTTACAATTGCACCCAAAAGTATAAGATACCTAGGAATAAACCTTACCAAAGAGGTAAAGGATCTATACCCTAAAAACTATAGAACACTTCTGAAAGAAATTGAGGAAGTCACAAAGAGATGGAAAAATATTCCATGCTCATGGATTGGAAGAATTAATATTGTGAAAATGTCAATGTTACCCAGGACAATTTATACGTTTAATGCAATCCCTATCAAAATAGCATGGACTTTCTTCAGAGAGTTGGAACAAATTATTTTAAGATTTGTGTGGAATCAGAAAAGACCCCGAATAGCCAGGGGAATTTTAAAAAAGAAAACCATATCTGGGGGCATCACAATGCCAGATTTCAGGTTGTACTACAAAGCTGTGGTCACCAAGACAGTGTGGTACTGGCACAAAAACAGATACATAGATCAATGGAACAGAATAGAGAATCCAGAAGTGGACCCTCAACTTTATGGTCAACTAATATTCGACAAAGGAGGAAAGACTATCCACTGGAAAAAAGACAGTTTCTTCAATAAATGGTGCTGGGAGAATTGGACATCCACATGCAGAAGAATGAAACTAGACCACTCTCTTGCACCATACATAAAGATAAACTCAAAATGGATGAAAGATCTTAATGTGAGACAAGATTCCATCAAAATCCTAGAGGAGAACACAGGCAACACCCTTTTTGAACTTGGCCACAGTAACTTCTTGCAAGATTCATCCATGAAGGCAAGAGAAACAAAAGCAAAAATGAACTATTGGGACTTCATCAAGATAAGAAGGTTTTGCACAGCAAAAGATACCGTCAACAAAACTCAAAGACAATCTACAGAATGGGAGAAGATATTTGCAAATGACGCATCAGATAAAGGGCTAGTATCCAAGATCTATAAAGAACTTATTAAACTCAATAGCAAAGAAACAAACAATCCAATCATGAAATGGGCAAAAGACATGAACAGAAATCTCACAGAGGAAGACATAGACATGGCCAACAAACACATGAGAAAATGCTCCGCATCACTTGCCATCAGGGAAATACAAATCAAAACCACAATGAGATGCCACCTCACACCAGTGAGAATGGGGAAAATTAACAAGGCAGGAAACCACAAATGTTGGAGAGGATGCGGAGAAAGGGGAACCCTCTTGCACTGTTGGTGGGAATGTGAACTGGTGCAGCCACTCTGGAAAACTGTGTGGAGGTTCCTCAAAGAGTTAAAAATAGACCTGCCCTATGACCCAGCAATTGCACTGTTGGGGATTTACCCCAAAGATACAGATGCAATGAAATGCCGGGACACCTGCACCCTGATTTTATAGCAGCAATGTCCACAATAGCCAAACTGTGGAAGGAGCCTCGGTGCCCATCGAAAGATGAATGGATAAAGAAGTTGTGGTTTATGTATACGATGGAATATTCCTCAGCCATTAGAAACGACAAATACCCACCATTTGCTTCGACGTGGATGGAACTGGAGGGTATTATGCTGAGTGAAATAAGTCAATCAGAGAAGGACAAACATTATATGGTCTTACTCATTTGGGGAATATAAAAAATGGTGAAAGGGAATAAAGGGGAAAGGAGAAAAAATGAGTGGGAAATATCAGAAAGGGAGACATAACATGAAAGACTCCTAACTCTGGGAAACAAACTAGGGGTGGTGGAAGGGGAGGTGGAAGGGGGGTGGGGGTGCCTGGGTGACGGGCACTGAGGTGGGCACTTGACGGAATGAGCACTGGGTGTTATTCTATATGTTGGCAAATTAAACACCAATAAAAAATAAAAAAATAGGGCAGCGCCGGTGGCTCAGCGGTTTAGCGCCGCCTTCAGCCCAGGGTGTGATCCTGGAGACCCGGGATCGAGTCCCACGTTGGGCTCCCTGCGTGGAGCCTGCTTCTCCCTCTGCCTATGTCTCTGCTTCTCTCTCTCCTCTCTGTGTATTCTCATGAATAAATAAATAAAATCTTTAAAAAATATAAAAAATAAAAAAAAAAGATTGTGTAGGATAACGTGTCACGGTGCTTGGTGCTCAGAAAGTACTCAGTAAAGGTTAATAGTTGTGGTTGTAGATTTTGTTGTTATGTCTAGTGTCTGGATGAAGAGCTGGCACTTCAACATGCAGTTATGTTAATTTGAACCTCGTTCTTTGTCTCTAGTCTATTCT